ACGTTAGCACGTAATCGTACAATCAACCGTAAATTTCCGCGGGCAAATGGTTTCCCTTCGCGTGCGCACCGCGATGCGAGCCTTCGCGAGCGGCCGCGCACATGTTGCGCATACGCGACCATCAACAATGAGCCGAGATAAACATCCCTTCTGCCCGACCCGAAGATTTATGAACTCGCTGCGAGCGACGCGTTCTACAAAACGCGCCCTAAGCATCCGAGGCGTTAACTAGCCCGATCAACAGGAAGCAGGCGTTTGTTTGTCGGTCACGGATGCGACTTTGATATACGGACCGCGATTCGATATCGGACAGCGTTTTGAATCATCGTCGATCTCTCATACTCTCGTTGCTTAACCTCTGCATTTACTTCGCTGAGAAGAGAATTTAACGTGCTCTCGAGAGTTCCGACTGCACATCATGTTTATCATCCATTAGAAAATAGCTGCACTGATGTGACAGCTGCTTTTATACAATTACATTATTTAGAAAATATCAGTCTGTAACATTTGAGACACAAATTCTCTCGAATAAAAAATTCTGGTTCTGTGATACCGATATTATTTACAATATTATTTAGCTTCTCGTCGACATATGCAAAGTTTCATCGGATAGAAAGACTCACTTCGAGGCTCGGCGTTTATAAATAATCTATTTTATAGCTATGCTCAGAATATATTTTATAAGCTTAAAAGTTTTGAAATTCTAGCGATTGACCGCCTCGCTATGTAGCAAATCTGAGATATCGCTGCAGATAGAAAGGAGAGTGCTAGGCGCGATTTTAATTCTACAGCCGAATGCACTTCTCCCGCGACTTCCGTCTCTCCGTTAACGACTAACGGCCAGGTGTCATCCGTCATTTCGCCTTTCCCTTTTTCCCACGGTTGCTTTCCTATTTTCTTAACCTTGCGGAGTCACCCGGCTATCCTTTCAACGCTAAGTCGACGTTAAGTACCGCTTGCGCTTGTACGCGAAATTTCACAAACGCGGCTTAATTGAAACGAACCGTGCCTGCGCTAAATATCACAATTATTATAGAAACGTCTGAATGCGTTGCGTCTTATGAATACGCGCACTCTGTCGCCGGACATTTTCTAAATAATTTAACGTCCTCATTAGACGCACATATGGCATGCGATAATGTAGGACTCATTTATATAATGATGACGAAAAGATTTTAATAAGCGATTTTTCTCCTTTCTCTCTCTCTCTCTCTTATCGAAAGCGGGATACTATTAAGCTGTCAGCGGGGTGTACGCGTTTCTTGTACGTATTACAAACGCATTTCGCGTTTCTTGCGCATATTACGGACGTTCGTCGGTGTGCGCGGTCGGTGCATAAAAATTTAATAAATGAACGCATTGCCGACAGGAAGTCATTAGGCGGACGTGTATTTAAACGTTACTATGTTAAGTAATAAACAATTTATTGTAATTTCATTTCGATGCAAATAAAAGCAGCTGTAAGCGTCAATAAATGTTTAATCAAGATTCGTTTTATTTTAAGTTTCTGCTGGCTGAAGAGAATTGAAGAAAAATGGCTTGAAGTGTTTCCATGTATAATTAAAAATGACGATAATTTTCCAAGTGTTGCGTCAAATAATTCTTTTTCTTTTGATTTGACTCAAAAGAGAATCTCGCGTGTCTGCAAAAATTACGGAGCGATTCACGTCGTTTTCCGGCGAGGAGACCACGCGGGAGCTTTTAAAACCGGTCGAATGAGAACGGAACACGGGAATGTATATGGGTGGATCGGTCAAACGAGTTGCACGAGCAAAAGCGACGTTCCCATTGCAACAGGACACCGATGACAGTGCGCCCGCGCCCGTACTGCACTCCGCGAGGAGAGAACGCAATGTATTCGTGCGAGATGCGTATCCGCGCGTCGCGTACCGCTCGACGGACGTATCGAATGAAACGTGACACACCCTGAGAACAAAATAAGAATACGCGGTGGTCTGAAAGCGACGGGAGAACGCGAGCGAAGACTCGTTTTCATCCGCGTGAGCGTGCTTTTCTCTTTCGAGAAAGAAAAAAAAACCGCGTGTCATCCATACAATAATTATAGTACGTCACTTTGCACGCACTTCTCGTTATCGTAAAATAAAAAAATAATTAACTCGCTAAATTGAAAACTGATAATTGTTTAAATATAAGAAAAGCTGCGGATAAGTAAAGATCTCGCAGAGAAACGCTGTTACCTTTTTTCCAAAATTGTAGAAATTACTTATTTACGAATTCATCACAAAAAAAGCACAGAACAGAGCTTAAGTATTATTATTCTAATTACTTATTAAGTCTTTTCCTCGATATTTTCCTTCGGAAAAATAATTTTCTAAAGATATCAGCCTTCTTATCTCGATAATCGCGAATGGGATAAAGTGACGTACGTTTCGTGCATTTATCGCGCTTCCAGGCATTAATTCAAACTTTTTACACGATGAACAAGAATTTTTCGTACCCTATGACATTCCTGACAGCTTTGATAAGATCGAATACCATCTGTACCCTGCGGAAACGTCGAGATATGCGTGAAACGCCCACGCGGCCCAACCTCGACTCTATTGTCCGCAGTAATGCTTTCGGGGAGATTCAAGTGATCCTCATTTCGAGATTGTTAGCAATTAGACGTCGCGTTTAAGACGAGCAGGAAACGACGGCGAGTCAATAAGAGATGCAAGTCGGACATTGACCTCACGCACTTTAAACAGTGGCATGCGTTTTTTTCGCAGTAAAGTAGCCGGCGACTGTTCTATCCTTTAAAACGCATTAATTTGTTTACCCAGCGTGCATTATCTGTCTACTTCGTGTCTGTTTATTCAGCGGTCAGCTCAACCTCATTTTGTGGTAAAAATACCGAGTGCAAACTATGTACGTTTTGTTGACTTTGAGAATTGTTACACGCAAAATGCAAAATTCGTAAAATGACCACTGAGCGCAACCAATATCTACGATCGTTCATAGAATTGCATTTTATCTTTATCGTTATCATCTCCCGACATTGTTTATCTCTCACTCGAAGGCGTAACCTTATCTCACGATATATACATTATCGCTGCCTTATCGGGAATGGCAGCCTAATCCGGCTCGTACGGCTGACGTGTTAAAATTTTAAATGCATCATATGTTTTCCTCGAAAAAATAAACGTGCAGCAGAATTTTCAAGTTAATATTGCTTGCCTCATAATTGTTATAAAATTGTTGTACCTACATACATAAGCTCTGAATAAAAAAAATTTGAATTTATCAAAATTTAGATGGAAAATGTAAGATATTCTTTATATAAAATAATATATCATAATCGTTAGCCTTTCACTGTTAATTTTACTTCGTAAAAATGATGTCGCTATGTTATTAAATATCTTTTCTTATAAATCGCATCTACTTTCCCTAATCAGACATTTTAATCTTCCGCAATTCACAAGTCGTAAGCAATAATTCACAAAATTGATAGCCGCTATATTTCTCACGTCCGGCTTATCTCGATTTCCGATTAACTATGAGGATACTCGATTGTATAAGAACAGGTGCAAAAGATGCGCCGTAATTCCTGCACCTGAGACTCGCCAAGATAGAGAATCCTTTCTCGCGCGTGGCGTAGTGGAAACGCGAATGTCTGGCGAATGTCTCGTGTTGCTCTCGTTGCGCCGGCATTAACCTTTGTACGGCTGCATACCTGCGCGCAACGACGCGACCGACTGTCTTTCTCGTTCTCGGACATGTCTCACAGAAATAGAAACTGGATTGGAACTTGATTCCCGTTCGCCTTGGCGCCCTTAATCGGAGGATTAACATCGCGATTTGTCGCACGAGGAAATTTCGACGCAGCTTCCGTCATTAAGCGTGATAATTATCGAGTCTCTCTTTGTCAAAAGCTTAATTATCTAGCTTTGCAGAATGTTTAATTAACCTTCTCGAATTTAAAAAATTAATTAACGAATCTTGGATTGAGAAATATCTAATAAAAAATTGTTTAACTAATTTAGAAGCAAAATTTAACTCCTGTTCTCGATTTATATTGATGTCGATATTAAATTAAATGTTACGTTAATTAAAAGATTCATAAATTATTCGCATGTATCTAGCAATAAAAAACATAATTTGCATTATTAAATTAAACGATAAATTTGTCGATAATAACGACGTACATTAGATCTCATATTTTTTATGCGCAATTTTTTTTAACACATATGAAATGAAAAGATATTGTAAAAATTTATCGTGTATCTAAATCGTGAATCTTGTACACATTGATACCAAAACATAAATTCGATCTTCGCAAAAAATACTACATAAATGTACTTGAACTTTGATATATGATTCATGCGACATGAGTCATAAAAATCATGGAGACAAACTGATTTCTCTCATTGTCAGCGCATACATTTGCTCCATATTTGCATCGTGTCATTGAAATTGCATTCGAATTGCAATGGTGAACGATCGGTAATGCAGTTATAACGCAAGATAGAAAGAGACGGAGAAGTGAAACAGGAAAAAGAACATATGTTCTTGGAACACAATCGAAGCGAAACCTGCACGCTCATGTTCCACGCACCCTCGGCGAATACAAACGAATCGCTCAATACTAAAATGCGTAGTACCATAAAACTTGATTGTCGAAAAATCAATAAAAAAGAATTGTTTTATTCAGAAACGGAAAATATCTTTCATTAAACAACTACAAGTGTGCGACAAAACATCAAGATACATTAATTTGCAGAAATTTACTCAAAATATTTCTCAAAGAGGTTAAATTTTACTCGAAGGAATTTAAAGCGCACTCCAAAGAGCGACATTGTCTCGAATGATTCAAATGTATTTCTCGCCGGATACGCGCCCGCTTGTCACGATATCGCACCAGGTCGTCGAACTGGTCGTACGCAGAGAGAAAGGCCGCTAGATTATGTCGGGCGGCTGTCAAAAGCGAGAAAATCATCAACGGCCGAGCGGAAAAGCGGGCACGCGCGCTCGCGAATTCATGCGAGCAAAAGAAAACGCACCTGGTCTTGAATCTCTGCGTGTCGTCCTGGCCGGCCCACATGTTTCGTTCCTTCAGGTTAGACTGCTGTCGATGGCGAGCACGATAACCTCGAAGCACCGGTGCGGAGAACTGTCGCGTGAAAACTGCCGCTTCTGTCGACGAAGACACCACGCGCGCGTTTCACGAAAATCGTACCGGCACAAGCGCGAACGCGAATGAGAGAACACGGGTCAAGCTGGGTCACGTACGTTATACTCGCGCGCTTCTTCCGTCCGTACGGTTTCGGAGTGTCGCGGAGTGGAAGGAACGAAGCGAGGAAGAAGGAAAGAAACGGAGCGAGGAACGGAGCGCAAAGTGGGAGCAAGAGGACACGAGTCGTGAGGCCCCGCGGAAAGAAAGACGCCAGACGTTGTGCGCAACGAGCGAGAATGGAGGCGCCACCTCCTAAAACTCGAGAAACTCGCGCGTTAGAGCGAGAAAGAGACGATAGACGCGCGATGAAGCGTACAAAAGAGCGTGCCACACTCGATCGAACGGCTGCTGGTTGCGCACGATCGCGAAATACTGATGGTAGATCGGCGGCGAGGTGCGGCGCGATGTTGCGCACGAACGACGGACGACCCTCTGAGCGCGCGCGAGAGAGAGAGAGAAGGACAGAGGACGGGAGGGGAAGACGTGGAGCTACCATGCGACTAGCGCGACGTGTCAGACGGAACTGTACACGGGGCCTTAAGCCCTATAACGACGGCGTGCGAAATTTCGGAACTGAAATTGAGAGAGGAGGGGATAAAAGCCGTTTCGAAGCCGTTTGCGTAAGAAAAGAATGTAAACATGTTTACATTCTTGCGTGTTACATTCCGTAACGTGTTTTAAAAAATTTCTTAGAATTTATGCTTTTCCAGGCATCGAAAAGTGAAAGTACGTGTAGAAAAAAAGAAAAAGAACTTTTTGCAACATATAATATTTAAATACTGTTCATACACGGAGAAAATTTTATATCAAAAATCACTATGATACGGCAGTAGCCGCGGATCATAAGAGAAATTATAAGCTTAAATACTATGGCCATTATGTAAAAAACATAGTGAAAATTTTTATAATTCCTTCGTGATCCGCGGCTACTATCGTACATAGTAATTTTTGATAGAAAATTTTCTCCATGTATAAAAGATAAATTTGTACGAAGCAGACAGGTGCATAACGAATGCAACTTTGCAGAAGTGTGCACTGGACTTTAAAACCCTTACGGGACTAGTTCGAGCGAGTAGCCACGAGGTTTTGCCCTCATCAGTTACAGACCCCAAATAATTTTCTCTTGGGAATGTATGTTAAAATCGAGCCAGAAACAGCAGTTATATTTATCTTAGTGACCGAGTTGTAATGCTTCCGTTCTTCCTTTTCTGTGTAAAATCACGCTGTTAGTTAAAAATATGTTCAACCCAATTTTGCAGCAGCCAATGTATTTTGTTAATGTTTGATTTGGGATTATAAATATTGATTTTGCAATTTTGTCTGATCGAAATCTATGAATTCTCCACTTGTAATTAAAAGTAATTTCTAATTTAAAATTGACTTGCTTTCTAAATATTACATTTTGTCGAAGATTATAATTTATAAGCACTATCAATATATTAATACGTACGTAAAAGAAATACGTTTTACAATATCTTCTCATTTGATGTATTAAAAATAGATTACGCATAAAAAATATGAGATCGTCGCTATTAAATAAACTTATTTTCTCGAAACTCGAATAAGATAATAGAAACTGTTACATATTGTCTTGGCAATATTTAGAAAAATAAAATTAATTACTCACTCAGTACATAATGAAATCATTTTATCAAGAGAATCTGCGTCAGCATGATGACTAACCGACTACGAAATATTATCTAATCTTATTATTCAAAAACAGGATGACGAATTATTACACATTAGTACCAATTTTAAAGGCAGTAATTCGTCATAATTCAGAACCAACAAACTGCTCAATATGCGTATTGCATTCAAATCTGCGATAACAAATTTGCTGCATAGAGTAAGAACTTCCAACCAGCTAGATTTAATCTCAAAACTTTCGAATACGCAACTAAAATTAGTAAAATTCGGACAACGAACATGTCATTATATCTTTGATTAATTCATTAAAACACAATAATGTATGACACATCATGTTAAAATATAGTACCTATATACATTGAAACATGAACTAATTAAAGCAATCTAGAATATAAAATATGCATCCGAATTGTAAAAATAATTTCCAGTGCCCTTAATGAGTTGCGGTTAATGAGTCAATAAGTCATCAGGTAATAACGAGTAGAGAAATTTCTTTACGATGAAACCGCGATGCATCATTGCAACAGCTGTTTTCTAAGGCACAAGAGCAACAACATAGTGGTCGAACGAGTCGCCTCGTGTTCAATTCGCTTCGTATCTCCGAATCACGCTCGCGATGATGCGGCACGTCACGGATATTAAGAGATCATTAAACAGTGTAAAGTTTAATTTCACTGTCAATTATATATTGCGGCAAACTCGGTTATAAATTAACAATTTTATAACGCGTTGGCGTTATAAGAATCGAAACAGTGAAATCAGTGCAGCTGCAAAAAGATTTATAGAGCATGAAAATGTATAGAAAAGATAAAAATATGCTACTTTTAATATAGCTTAAAGCAGCAAACATTTTATTAAGCAAAAAACAGATTAATCAAAAGCAATCTTTATCATTTTTATTTTATTTTTATCTGAATAAATCCGCTTTGAGATGAGTTACAATTCACGACAGAATTCGAGATAGAAATCTATCAATAATTTTATGCAACAGAGAACATTTAAAAACTCAGAATATAATTACGCGTACAATATATGTATTTTGTGTATATGTATATTCTAATTTTTCAAATGACACAAAATTATAAACAGAATTCTATCTTAAGCTTTTGCAAATTATAAAAAATCCATAAAAATAAAGAAAACAATGGATTAAATGATGTAAATTTTTACAATTCATAGATATTTTCAACACGAAAAGCCGTACGAAATAAGCAAATACTATTCATCATTCTCGCAACTCGACAGTCGAACGAGTAACCTGCTTATATCGCCGATCATGGAATTCCGCGAATTTGTGAATATTGCAAATTGTCGGTGTCATTTCCCCGTCCCTACATACGCGTATACATGGAAGCCTTTCCTGGCGTGTCTGCCAGGAAATAAAGAGAAAGAGATACAACAGAGAGAGAGAATGAGAGAGACAAAGTAACCAGCTGGACGAAGGACAACGAACAAAGGGTAGGCAGAAACGTCGTGTACCTATGCAATTACGAGGCTTCGGGGCCCTAAATGTATACGCCTCTATGCGGCACGCTAGGAGCCGCGATGAGTCACAAGCTCGGAGCTTGCATTATTCGCACGCGGCGACGTTCCGAGGATGCGTTCGACGCATTCGAATGAGTCGCTTCGGAAAAATGCGATGCAAAGTATGAAAAATTGGGATTCGAGAAAGAAAGTCACCGTAAGTATCAATGCTCATCAAATCAAAACTGTCTCAATGATTTAACGCCGTTAAATCGATTTTCAGTTTTAACTCATTTTTTTTTGCCAAAATAAAACAAAGTAATTTTATCTGAATGTTTTTCGAGTACTATGCAATCAATTATATTTTTTGTTGTGAAATAATTTGAAATTAAATTCAAAGTAGCTAAAATTTACCGTTCACTTTTTTTCACAATTCTTAAATGATTAATGTTGAAATTAAAAAGTGGAATAATGAATGAAAATGACAGAGAATTACAATCAGAATGATCTCCAACCACATTGTCAATTCAATAATTTCACATTTTTACCCGGTTGAGTATAATAGCGGTATTAGTTCACATTGTGGGCGTCGTTCACATTGGGCGTGTACCTGTGGCACCCATGGCCTTTACAAGGGACAATAACATGCCATTTACGTTTCTCCCTTCGTCTACACACTCGATACAAAATAATAAGCCATATGTTATCTCTCGGAAAAAAAAAACCGCGACAAAGTTCGTGTCTTGTCAAATCATAGCTCGGGCAACGCATAATTATACGCAAACCAGGACGCGATAATGTTGCGAGGGAAACACCGGGATGTATGCGTGCACGTAATGGAAATCTAAATGAAAAGGAAGGAAGGCATAAAAAATATCTGCATGAAAATAAATGATGCGACGTGGTGGGCGTTGTTGCGCGTTTTTTAAATTACGCTAGCATTACTCGGCTTAAACGTAATAAGGCTTTCCGTAATCGTTCCGAGACATTGAATTAATGACATCAAGTGCATTCAACGCGAAAATTTTGTAATAGCAAAGCATGTAATAGAAATCTGAAAAGCAGAAGAAATAAAAATATCTATGTGTGATAAATTATATGATAGGCGCTCTGAAGGAAAAATCTACATAAAATAAACAATCAATGTGAACCAAAATGGAAAGCACACTTTTTCCTTCGTATAATTAATTTAATCGTTCCTTACTCAAAGGAGATAAAAGAAATGAATTGTGTATCGTAAAATAACCTTGTGAATGCGGATACCATTAACGCAACCGATTGTACATACAATCCCGATTGTACGAGCGAACACGGTGCTCCGTTTAATGCAAGCAGGCAGCGGCGATGATTAGACAATACACGCGGTAAACCGCCGGTGTTTTTCAGCACTCGCTTCTTTGCAATATAATGCCAGAGATGTCAGACTTCATAAAGATTCGTGAAGAGCTCTTTCTCCTTCTCCCTCCTTCTCTCTCCTTTCCTCTCTTTCTTCTCGCAAAACCGCAGGACTTCCTCAATACCCGCTCTACGCACTCTTAAATATACGATAGCCGTCCGTCTTGTACACAAAGGTATAAAACGACGCTCGTATGACCCCGAAGAAAATCTTTACGACCGATATATCTTCGGCGCGTGTTCCGCCTTTACAAACAACATCAAGATATACAGCACGAAATCACCCTAATTCCGACAACGGATTCTTCGATTAGGGATCAATATTTCTTCGACCAGGCTGTTTCCACAGTTTTTGGACAGCCTGGTCGAAGAAATATTGATCCCTAATCGAAGGATCCATAAAAGCAAATCTAATAAAATCGAAATAAGCTCTTTCTAGATATAAATAGTGTATAGCTATAAATAGTGTAATTCCATTATTCATTTAAATTCAATTTTCCTTGTTATTATTATTTGCATCCAAATATAATCACAATATTAAATATTAAATATCAAAAAATTACAACTTTCTTTTGTAAAAAGAAAATTAAAATTAGATATTTACTTTTAATATTTATGAAGATCGAATTTTAAGCTTTTTAAGCTCGACGTAAAAATTCAAATGTAAGTGATTCTTTAATATTCTGATAATATCAATATATTTATCGCTTCGAAATTAATGTAAATGTTATTTTGCATCTGTATTTTATCATCACTTTCGATACAGCGCATGCAATCTGCCGTTGAATTCGTGAACTTCTTCGATCCGCACCTTCGCGAGTTTATCGGCGGTACATAAATTTGAATTACGATGTAATAAAAATAAAATTGGTTCTTGGTTATGAAAAATCGATATTCCAATATTCTAAAATAAAAAATAAAAAACCTGTTTCTGCAGTGCAATCTAGTTGTCAAAATAAATAACAAAAATGTTTTATAAAACTATTCTTCGCGTAAATAAACGATAAATAATATAATTTACAAATTAAATTGTTTAAATTAGTGTTTATAAAATGTCGAGTGCAATAAATAAAAATTGTTCATGACCGAAAATTCAGTACAAAGTTCTACAGCAAATTGCTAATCGATACGACCAGTATGTTCGAAATCCAACATATTTCTGCGAAAATATTATACCGATGACTATATATGATAAAAAAGTGTTGGCGTTATCCGGATATATCCGGCTCATGGGACACGCACTGCATAATAAAAAATTCACACGCAATATGGCATGTGTAATTCGATACATAGCCAAACCATCTAAATTGTAAATAAGCAACCAAATTGAGCTAACCACAAATTATTTGGAAATAAATATAAACTCTATAGAGCAGTTATTTTCATAAGATAACTATCATTAATCGAGGACGAATGTTTCATTAAATTCCACTAATCAAACCTAAATTATACTTAAATAAAAATGTATTTTCTTTTAAAAAATAGCAAAACGTATTTTTTGTCAACATAAATTATCAATGCATACGATAGACGCTTACTAATGCAGTTAAAAATTAGGAAAACACAAAAGAATTTAAAATGTTGCAGTTTTGTTATAACAAATAAATAATAATAAAAATAAATGCAAGTGAATCGCTTTCATAATTGAACATTCTATACAAAATCTTACCAAAAAAAGATATTCAGCTATTATAGGAAAAATTCAATATAACAAAATTGCGATATTTCATTTTTAACTTAAAAATTCCAGAAATTCAGAATAAAAATTTAAAATCCGAATACTAGCTTTAAACAAAATCAATGGATTCTGCGAAATCCACAATGGAACTTGCAAAGCGCAGTGGCGCTCGGATCTCGCTAAAAAAAGGAAAACAAATATAAATATAGTCACAGAAAATACTTGTTGATGCTGAACTCTTAATGTGTCTGTCAATAGATAAATAAGTCAAGAGACGTACAACGCTGATACATCGATACACCGCACGTATCGTTCGGAACGCATCTTCTTTTTTGGATTACGAGCTACGCCAAGCAGTAGAGGTGGCCACCTTCAGCTCGCCGGTTCGACGACGAAAACAAAGCGCGAATATGGCTAGTAATGCAAGGTACTTACTTGCTGGACTTGCGGTTGCTGTCGGCGATGCCTTGGTACGTGTTGGTCGACGTCATCTTGGCGGCGAAATCGGGCTCCTTACGCGACACGGACGACGGATTCGCGGAGAATTTACTACACACAACCGGACTGCCGGACGAAAGCGACTATTCTGTCGTACGGAAATCAAATACTGTCGTTGCGCGCGATTGGCCGTCTAGAGAGTCTGAGAGTGGCGCCCTCAGTGCTGCTCGTGAGTACTTACCGCAGTCCAGTATCGCCATCTGCATCTATTTTATTATATTCAATGATCCAATTCAAATTCCGAAAAAAGCGGTAAACGATATGCTGTTTGATACGTGTCTGATCATACAATGTAGAATAAATTCTAAAATAGATGCAGATAACTAGTCATCAATGAATACGCGCTAATATATGTAACGAACAAAATCACTCACCGATTACTGCAATAGCGATACGGTGGCCTCGCCTGTTCGATCGACATCGACTTCATATCGATGTTTTCCGTTTATTTTCCTAAAGAGAACACACTCGCGAAGAAGAACATCGCGAAAATATGATCAACGAGCGCACAACGACGCGATATTGATTAATGCCGACAATCGCCCGATACTTTAATCGACACTCCCGGCACTTGTTCACGCATCGACGCACTTCGAAATTCAAAACATACGAAAAACGCGCAGTGATCTTACCTCGACGTTGCGTTGACGAACACGGCACGAAGCAAAATGGCCGATTTAACAGATAATACTGAACGTATCGTCATTCCGCTGCAACTTCTCGCATCTAAAAAACGCACACAATTCTCTACTTTGGAATCACAGCAATCTAAAGAGTCTCAAATATATTTACATTTACATAATTTAGGAATAAATATTCTTTACACTTTAGATTCATCTGAAATCTATGTATTAAATAACATATTGCAGTTGGAAATAGAAATCTAAAATCAAATCGCAAAATTCAAAAATTTTACGCAACCTTGCAGTACATAATTCGTAGCAATGTCCATTATTTATTTGAAATATTATCATTTTCTACAACTTACGTATGCTAGTTGTAAACATCCATCGCTAACCGACTCGATAAGTACAAAGTAATAATCGTTTAGAAAATAGAACAAAATCAAATACGAAAAGCGCAGCAGCTTGCGAGGTACCGATGCGGCACGAAACAGAACAAGATGGCTAACTAACCAGAGACGCCACAGCTCTCACTGTTACCATTTAGAGTCCCCAGAAATAATAGAGTTTTCTAGAGACTTTATTTCTATTGTCCAGTACACAACATCTAATATCCAATAGGAGACTTGGAATTTTAGAAATAAAAGACGTCACAAAATCACTAGAGAGAATGTATAACACTAAAGACGCCCATCTATCTTGCACGCATAATTAATGACGTATCAATTCGTTACACACACTTGTGTACGATAGTGTATATTGTGCAGCTCGTATAAATGGTGCGAAAGATCACAACAGCGGCTGTTGGCTTCGAAGAACCTTGTCGTGCGTTATCGTTGCGCGAGGGACGCTCGAAGGAAAGAGAGAGAGAAAAAAACAACAGTGTGACAATGTTGAATCAGGCGGTGGTCGAGGCTTTATATTCAGCAACGTATATCGAGAACTACCTGGACTGCGTGGAGAATCTACCGAACGATCTGCAGAGACATGTTTCTCGTCTGCGTGAACTGGACGCTACTTGTCAAAGTAATTTAAATTCTCGGCTTATTTTCGAAAGCTTCATCAAGCTTCCGGCATTCCTTTTGAAGCCACAATTCGACCATACTTGTTGCTCTTTTGTAATTTTCTAATAAATATTTTAAATTGTTTTATTATTTTTTTGTTGATGTTGTATACTAGATTATTCAGAAATAGTTTTGCAGCAGTGTTTTATACAAAATTAGTTTTATTTATGGCTGTTTTGAACAGTCTTCAAGTCTAAAGATTAAATTTTTTAGCCATTTGTGAGAAAGCTAACAAACCTGAAATGTGTAAAGTTTTTTAGTGCAATAAATAAAAAGATTATTATGCAGCTGATTATATTTTACTAGCAAATTTTACAAGAATTTTTAAAATACATTTCTCGAAACAATTCTTATAAATTTTATCTGTTAATATTTAATTATATCTCTTCTATAATTATTGTGTAGCATATTTACGCGAAGTGGATCAGCATCAAGAGACACTACGAAATGATACAGATCCCATCATTAAAAGGAGAGCATTAGTAAGAGTACAGCAAGCGCTTATTGCAGCACAAGAGATAGGAGATGAGAAATTACAAATTGTTCAACAAGTGCAAGATCTAATAGAGAACAAGTCCAGACAGCTAGATTTAGATTATCGAAACCTAGGTATGTATAATTCTGCACATTGTTCATATCATAATGTTATTAAATTGTTGTACAGCATAATTCTAATACAATTTTTTTCATTCACCTTACAGACTTTGGAAAAGAACAAGAGAGTTCTGAATCAGTTCGCGAATCCAATATAAACAATAATTCGAATAATGCAAGTCATGGAAACAACACGGAACGCCAGCCGAAACGCGCCAGAAGAACGAGAACAGAAACATTGATAGAGTCAGCGCATTCCATGGATATGATGGTAGGAATGACAGAAACAAGATCATCAGCCTTATCAAGCACGAGCAACGGAAATCAAAAGAAAACAACAGCAGCCGCAACTGGTAAAAAGAAGAAGCGGAAATCTCGACAAGGCAATCAGCAAAATCAGCATCGGGAGGACACTCCGCCGCCTCCAGAGGATGATCTGGCAATTGATCCTGACGAACCGACTTACTGTCTATGTGACCAGATATCATACGGCGAAATGATTCTTTGCGACAACGATCTCTGTCCCATAGAATGGTTCCATTTCTCATGTGTTTCTCTAACCACTAAGCCCAAGGGCAAGTGGTTCTGTCCTAAGTGTCGTGGTGATCGACCTAACGTCATGAAACCTAAGGCGCAATTCCTCAAAGAGTTGGAAAGATACAATAAGGAGAAAGAGGAAAAATCGTAGCAAGAACACGGCGAAAGACTTAAGAATTTTGGAAAACTTAATTGGACTTGATCAGAATATTTGTAGAATATAATTTTATTTTCGCGGTATTAAAATTTTACGTAAGTCGAAAATTATATTATTTTTCGTGAAATCTCACAACTTTCTCTTAATTGTACAAATACGTTTGAAAATATATTTCTTTGTATGTAAATTGTAAGAGATAGATGAGTGTATATGACATGATTCATGATTGTACATATGATATAATACTATCACACATTAAACGAATCACAGACTTTATGTTCAAAATGCATTTCTTTTGTTGATATGGACTGATACTGACTTAATATTTTCTATTAGCTTAGAACGTTGATGACGAGTAAAAGATCTTTACAGCAGCAAAGTAGTCCAAAAAATACATGACTTATATTTTAATTATTTAAATATTAATGTAATAAGAAGTGAAAATAATAGTGTGTAAATAATTACAAAGTAAGTAGACTGAAATAAATAGATGCAATATTAAAAAGATCAACGAAATATATGTGGATTATAGTATATAATAGATATATAGTAGCTTTATCTTAAATACACTGTTTAAAAGTCACTTTTGTGAAAATTGAATGGATGTAAAATATTTCATACATTAGATACAAGCAGTTGTATTGACTTGTGTTGGAAAGAGAGTAAAGAATTCGTAAATACATCGCAACTTCTTTCTTGCAAAATTTATTAATTCAATACTATCCAATATGACATTTGTTTACAATCTAATACAAGCGTGACGCTCTATCGATAGATACGAAATCGAAAACGAGAAGTAACCACACTATTTTTTTATATTTTGCGCCATTACATGGTGAAAGTAGACTCTCCAGAAGCGACTTATAAACTTTCATATCCTTTAGCATAAATGTACTTCTCTCAAGCTCGTCTATACTTATAAAATAGCAACTCGGCTTGCTTGTGAGACTAACATATGGCGAAACATTGCACGGACGTTATTTTCTTTTATTCCTTACATCTCACACCTAACTAGTTATAAGAGTAAGACGTATTACATATTGTACTTATAAGTAAAAGATCACATAAGTCAACAGTGCGATTCCACGCCATTTCAGCTTGCTACACTTTTTTTCTTTTTTTTTCCGTTATTTATTTTCTACAACAGAGTGAAAATCGTGCAGAGTCCTTTTGTCGCATCCTATGGATTGTGTATCGATACGCGGAATGTTCAGCGCGAAATATGGAGATATTGCATAACTGTAACGCACAACGTGTCAACCGAATATTACCCATTAATTATATAATATGGGATGGAGGGGCAATCTTTTATATTAAAGGACTTTGCGTTAGATCTCTTACGCGTCACAAGAAGGTGGCATACTTAATGTCAGCGGGGATCCTCCGTGTGACTCTCTTGGAAATTCAGCCAAGACTGTTCGACTACAGTAGCCACCCTCTTCTCGTACTCCCGTTTGTTCTCTTGATACAATTGCGCCGCTAAAGAGTTGGCTGGTGAATTAGGATTTGGTTCGTCCAAAAGCGACTGTAACACAAACAGTTCATAGATTTCCTCAGCGAATTAACTTCAGATACACGTCAGTAATTTTTCAACGAGGGGGACAATCGAATATGCACATAAGTACAAGCAGGACTGACAGGAGATCGAATATCAGGTTACAACAATTACTAGGCTATAAAGTGAAATTATGCATTTATTATTATTATTATGTATATATATTTTTATATATATGTATAATATATATATATTATATATATATATATATGTGTGTGTGAATTTTTGGGTACTGAAGTACTAGAATTCAATACCGAAGTACAATTTTCTGCGCCGCCGAACGGACACAGAAAAAAAAGGAAACAAAAATCCAAGAAAATAAGAAGCCAAATATTTTTTATACTCTAACATTTAATATAGTAACTAATTTTTTTCGTGTATCATCAGATATTCGAAATAAATAAATACGCAATTTTATAATAATTTATTATTCAACATCGTAAAAATTCGGTCTAACGTTGCACATTATCGTGGTAGTTCGATAGAGGCTTTCAGGAAGAAACATGCTAGGTGAGTTATTCTTTTTCTTGGTTTTTTTTTCTTTTAGCGTTAGCTCCTTGGTAAGGCTGCACGTTCTTCTCCCCTGTATCTGATGGCTGTTGGTGGCTGACCGATGCCGCGATAGCAGCATTCCGTTAACACCCGCAACTAATCCACAAAACTCTGCTCCACACAAGCCTTCACTCGCTTCTCGTACTCGCGTCGGTTCTCTTTGTACAGTTGTGCTGCCATTGAGTTGGCAGGTGAATTCGGGTTCGGGTCACTTAACAGCGACTGCAATCACATAAGTCTTTATTATAGTACTTTATTACAGAGGACATTCTGTTATCCTTTCGACTAAGTGCATGGTCGGAATCGTATAAATGAATGTGACACTGGAGAATCTGCAAAATGCCTTCCTTTTTATTTGTTTCATTCTACTTCGTCCTCGAATCGGCATGGAAAAAAAAACAAAAGTGCATAATCGGCAAGGCAATTAAACGTAAAGTTACATAGAGGAGTTACATTACACAAGTGTTATGCACAAATAATTTTGAATCAAAATCATGTGATTAGACTTTGCTGAATTGCAACCGCTGTTAAGGCAAAACGAACGATCCCTTCAGGCGTTTTTATCGGCATGATTAGCAAAGAAAGAGTCTCTCGAAAGCGATGTGTTAATGAAAAATATGTGAGTGATATTTTTTTAAGAAACTAGAACGCCAATGTGAATTGTGAAAAGTGGGGAAAAAGAAAAGAGGTACTCTATATCAGATCAAAAAAGTAAAATGTTCATGTTTCGTTTCGCTATGTTATTAACATTTATTAATTGCCATGCAATAGGAATGTATATCAGAATATAATACGTAATAATTGAATAATAGCGTTGTTATAAAATGATATCAAACTATAATTTATAATTTTGATTATGTATCTCATAATATAACGTTAGAATAATGAATTCAAAGTTTTCTTATGCCATTTTAATAGAATACATTAACTTTTGAATAATAAAATAATAAAAAATCTATGTCGTGTCAAAGAGATAAAGTAAAGTTTATCTCCTTGTAACAGGAAAAAATTAGAAGCATCATTATTATGTGCATATACAGGGTGATTCAAAATAACCTGATGTCCTTGCAATGCCATATTCTTGAGCGAATTCTGAGACGATTTTTCCTTTTACAAAATTTTGTCCGAAGCTTAGTTTTCGAGTTATAATTGAAAATAGTTTGCTACTTACGAGTCCGATACAACGGACAGACAGAGACGGTGTAATGTGTCATGAGACGATAGTAAACACTTGACAGTCTCATTATACGTTGCGCGTCCCTGCCTGCCCGTTGTACCGAACTCGTAAGTTGCTATCTATTTTCAATTATAACTCGAAAACTAAGCTTCGGACAAAATTTTGTAAAAGGAAAAATCGTCTCAGAATTCGTTCAAGAATATGGCATTGCAAGGACATCAGGTTATTTTGAATCACCCTGTATATTGATGAATTATTAATTCATTAAAATGTCACAATTTTCTAAAGTGTCATTGGCTAACTATTAAAAATATAAAAAAAAGAAATGTCGAAACATGTTTTGTCAATAAAGAATAAAAGAAAACATACCTGTATAGATGTTAAAATAGCTGAGACGTCGTAAGTAGGACTCCAGCGATTTTGAAGTATGTCAAGACAGATTCCACCATCCGCGTATACGTTTGGATGGAACATCTTACTAACAAATCTTACTGTGGGAGGTTTATTTGGATATTCTTCTGTAAATTCTATTGTAAGTTTAAATGTGCCATCTTCGAATGGAGTGTCATGTGGTCTGAAACACATGTAAACATTCTTTTATTAAAACTAACACTCAAACATACACTTAAAATAATGATATATTTAATCTTATCTCATCATTGCGAAACTAAAAATGAATGTTATCTCTAATTGCTCCTACATATTTCACAAAACAAGTTGTCTCAAGAAAAACTTCTTTATATTGAACATATTTATAGCTCAAGATAAAGATGTTTTCCTGAATTGAAAAAAAGGATATAAATTTGTTCAGAGAGCAATTCCATTGAAAAATCACATTGTCTTACCCAAATATAACTGCATTCCATATCATAATATTATTGTCTGTCGGAGCACCTGACACTCCAGTTGGAGGATCTTCCTGTAATCTTTAGAAAAATAATAATTTCAAAAACTTTGTATTGCACACAAAACTTCATTTGTTACATAAAAATACTTTATATAAACAAGTATATTACTTATATTTTTATATAGATAATATTCATGTTGCATCTGTATGTTTCATATATTATTCATATATATAGCATTGTTCATTATCACAAAACTTTCATTACAAGTCTGATGGATCGTCCATAAAGCAAATAACTCAGTTAACATAATGGAAAAATTTAATGGAAAATTTTCAATTTATTCTTAACACTTTCATCATTGTTTGCATTAACGAGTTTATTATGTATTTAATAAACTTTCTTTATAGTGAAACTTTTCGTTTGCTGAAATATATCTTATCCAATTTCGCATGCAAAAATTGCCGAGTATGAATCACTATTCGAGTTTGACTATGGTGTCATCGCGCAAAGATTCGCGTGAGATTGTTCCAGAAACGATAAGAAGACCGATCGCGAGGAACCCCGCGGGGTCCACTCGAACCATCGCGCAAAAAGAGACACGGTGTTTGTTCATCGGGTCAGAAACGAGGGGAAAGGGAGGAGAAGGTTGTAGGCAGAGGACAAGTCTGGCAAAAGAGACGCATCACAAAAACATGACATTAGCTAATAATAAACACGACTGATGCGTCTCGTGAGGGAAAGTTGCGTGATCCCGAGGACTGACTGAATCAAAGTCGAGTCGAATCGAAGTGCACCAGGAGCCGCTGCGCTTACAATGGCGTTATACATCGAGAGCGTGATCGAACAGACGGATGGACGGATAGACGAGCGGCATATTAATATCGTACCTCTTGAAGTCTCTCATTAGTCTTCTCCTCGCAGGGGTGGACATCCCTTACGAATGAGCTCCCTGCTAATTTTCTTAAACAATGATGATGATGGATCACACGAGAGGCTCTTTCTCACTCTCTTTTTCGTCGTGGGTGTATGTGTGCGCGCGCGTATATGTATGAACCGACCGACGGCGATGACGACTGTGACGCGACGAATACGACGACGACGACGACCACGACGACGACCTCCTTCCTTTTTCGCACCTTGTGAGCGTTGTCTAACCAACAGCACAGAGTCGAATGAAAGAAATCACGGTACTCACACGCGAGTCCTGTACGTGTACGGGCTTACGTACGTCGTAGGAAAATGCACATACGATACACACAATCCATACGCACGCTCTCTCTCTTTCTCACACACCCATTCGCGCGCGCGCTTACGCACGCACACGCGGACGGAGACGAGGGTTATTTCTTACGAGGCTCTGGATTTGCGAAGTCGAGAGAGGGAGAGAGACAGAGAGAGGGAAATGGAGACAGCAGAAGGGGGGGTAGAGAGCGCGAGAGAGTGAGAAGGAGAGAGCCCGTTGTTTGACTCGTCCTTTGCCTTTTGTCAAGTCGCGTCCGTGAAGGCCGCTCTGTTTTCCTCGCGATACCGTTACGAAGACGCGGTGAAATTTGGCTTCCACCGGGTACGCTGATAATGATGACGGTGTTATCACTCTGTGACTCCGTCCGTGTTCTGCGACCTCGAGCTTCCACTTCGATCGCGAGCGTGCGTACTTGCGCGATTCGAAACTCCGATCTCTTTATACGTAGTGTGCTCGAGCATCCGCCGAGACCTTTTAGTCGCTCTCCCGCAATCGTTCTCGAGGAAAATTATTCTCGCCGACTGCTTGCTGCCAAACGGTACGCTCGGACAGCTGGACGGCGCGATGTATGGGTGGGGAGAAATGAGCTGTCTCGCGCTGCGATCGCAGCGAGTGACGTCACCGTGGGATTGCACGAACGATGGCGATGGCCAATCAATCTTCCGTTTTCCCGGAAATAATAGATACGCGACAGCTGGCTGACTGGCTTCACCGGCTTTTCCGGAAATGCATTTGCATATAAATATCTGCTGAGAGATATTTATAAATAGCTCGCGATATTTAGATCTATACGTTAGAGTTAATATAGATTGACATCAGATTTACCTTGTCGTGAAGTTACGTACGCTTACAGCGTCTATGCTTGCATGTGACGCAGAACTGTATTTCACAGTTTATCTATTTGATATGCATAAAAGATATCGAAAGATAAACAAGATTAAAAAACAAATAATAGCTCATATAATATTAAATAAATAAATATTAGGTTGAGTTAACTAATACATACAATCATGATACATATAAATCTATAGACCTGAAAGTTCTAATAAAATTATGTAATCTAATACGTTAATGTCTAACTAGGAAACATCTGACACCCAATAAGAAGATTTCTTTTTCTAAAAATAAAAAATTGTCATCTAGAAAATGCATTTTCTGAATGTTGTCACCGTGATCGAAATTTCCCTACGTATTCATTAAATAGGGAATATTTATGTATTGGCAGCAATGCTTTATTCAATATTTCTAGTATTTCTCTATCTTTACAAAACATTGTAGAATGATGAGATACTAAAGTTATGAACAATGCCAACGGAAATGTCATTCTAACATCTTATCTATTGCAAAAAGTATTTATCAACGTTATCAATATGTGAATGAAGGCATCTTATCAGTTTGCGAAATGTAATTGACAAGAAGTTAAAACATAACCAAGAAATTGAAACCAGAATTAACTTCAGTTAAATCAATCAATTTTAATTTGACAGTGAAATATGGGTTCTACAACAGAAATGATACACAACGTTACTAATTACGACACGACAAGTTTTTATATCGGTTTAGGACTAGCAATTAGTTCTAGTGGCTTTATAGGTTAGTAATTCAACAAATCATTTTATTTATATTTAGTAACAATTAATATCTAATTAATTACATTAATGAATAAATCAATTATTAAAAGGAACAAAAAAATTTAATATTAGAGGAATAGATTTTGATTTGTTTTATTATTTTAACTTAGGTGCCAGTTTTATTATAAAGAAAAAAGCACTAATCCAACTTCAGAGATATGGAGTACGTGCATCGTCTGGAGGTTTTGGCTATTTAAAAGAATGGATATGGTGGGCTGGTTTGTTATCTAGTATGTATAAATCTCAAAAGAATTGAAATATTTTAAAGGTTACAAATTTTTTGTGTAATATTTATTTAAAAACATTTAATATGAACATTATAGTGGGAATAGGAGAAGCAGCAAACTTTGTTGCATACGCATTTGCACCTGCGTCGCTTGTAACACCATTAGGTGCATTGAGTGTTCTAGTATCAGCAGTTTTAGCATCCAAGTATCTTAATGAGAAACTAAATCTACTAGGAAAGGTGAGAGATGTCTTTAGAAAGAAATGTTAATATTAACTTTTATCAGTATAATTAATATTAAAATTTGTTTTTTAGATTGGTTGTTTGCTATGCATCTTAGGTTCTACCATAATAGTATTACACTCCCCCAAAGAAGAAGAAGTTAGCAGTTTAAGTGAATTGGTTGTCAAAATCAGGGAACCAGGTTATGTATCTTATGTTCTGATTGTAATAATATGCACCTTGTCAATCATATTTCACTTTGGACCAGCATATGGCAAGCAACATATTTTGGTATATATTTGTCTGTGCTCCTCTGTCGGTTCTTTAACTGTCATGAGTTGCAAAGGTCTAGGTTTGGCGTTGAAGGAGACTATCTCAGGTGGAGAGAACGCGTTTGCTAATTGGTTGACATGGGTCTTTATATTTAGCGTTATTCTTTGCATCATGGTACAAATGAATTATTTGAACAAATCACTGGACTTGTTTGACACATCGATTGTGACACCAATCTATTATGTCTTCTTTACAACTCTAGTAATAATAGCATCTGCAATATTGTTCAGAGAATGGGAAAAGATGAGTGTAGAGGACACCTTGGGTGCCTCCTGTGGTTTCTTTGTAATTATAATCGCTATATTCCTATTGAACGCTTTTAAAGAAATGGATATATATTACAATAATATTAAACATATGTTAAGACCCAAGAGGGAAATATTTTTTAATTATAATTCAAGATGGGACAATCAAGAAAGAGTAACGACTCGAGTGGAATCTCAACACTTGCTTAATCCTACTTACAGTACAGATCTTACTAGAACTATCTAAGGTTTATTTTCATAGAAATATGTACAGTAAGATATACACTTGATTGTATAGCAATTATAATTGTTAAGAAAATAATTTATTTTTATCGTTTCTAATTAATTGTAAATATGCAATTGCTTTAGAAAGCAATAAAATGCTTAAAAAATATTTATTGTAAATTATGAGTTACATGCTTTTGCCGGTATTAAAAAATAAAGATTTTTAAAACAGCCCGTTTATATTTATGTTACAGCCATTCGTGTGATACTTAAAAAAAAGAAGCATTATATTAATTTAATAATTAATCTGCAATTCATATTTGCATTTGAATGATAACCAATCACGCGAAAGTATAAAGCAGAAGTTGTCGCATTTCTATATCAAATGAAGTAAAGTGAGGTTCGTCACGTGATATACTTGATATTGGATTCATTGCTGGATTTCGCTACATAACCATTACATACAAAATTGATACAAAATGGCGTTCAATTTTGCCGCTTCCTCATACATCGTAGCGTTAATTGGCGATGCGTTTTTAGTATTTTTCGCGATATTTCACGTACGTGTTTGGCGCGATGAGTTCACGTAGTAATTTATAACAGTGAGAATCATAACAGGCGTTTATACGCCGACACTTAAATATAACCTCAACCTCAACAATGATGCGCGTATATTATTACGTGTGCGATTAAATAACATATAAAATCTTTCAGGTAATCACATTCGATGAGTTAAAGACTGGGTACAAAAATCCAATCGATCAGTGTAATAATTTAAATCCGGTAAGATGGTCAAGTTGACCTCTGATGCATCAGCTATTTACATTGTTTATACAAGACATAACAATATTATATAATAAATTTGTTTTATCATTGCATCATGATTTCAGTTGGTTCTGCCGGAGTATTTATTGCACATGGTAATTAATGTTTTGTTTCTACTGAGCGAACAATACTTTTCACTATTCATCAACATTCCCTTGATGGCCTATCATGTTTGGCGATATATAAATAGACCTGTGATGTCGGAGTGCGGTTTGTATGATCCTACCAGCATTATGAACGCTTATGATTTATCTGTGTACCAAAGAGAAGGATGGGTTAAGCTAGCGTTCTATCTTCTTTCCTTTTTCTATTATTTGTATGGGTAAAGTTATCATATGGCATCAAAGTTATTTAAAATTAAAAATTCTTAATACTTATATCATTTATATTATAGGATGATCAGCACATTAATCAATTGAAACGAGTGATTATTGAAATCAATAAGGGTTTTCCATTTTCTGTATACATTTATGTGGTTCAATGCCAAACAGTGAGTTGTTTATTGGAAGTACAAGCGGCATTTAATTAACTTATCTTAATGAAGGTTTTGTAATGATATATAGCATGGAAGAAAAGTCCCTCAGATGTATTTCAGTAAATTTTATAAGTCATATTCATAATCTAAATACTTTTCCGAGAATGCATATATTTAGTCAAGTATTATTTACAGAAATACGAACCATATAGTCAAGAGATATTTTGTGAGTTTAAATATTATTTGTGCTTTGTGTCAGATTTAAAGGAAGATGAACTGAATGAACAAATAATTTTTGCTCATATTTTGATAAAAGTGATACACGTTTGAGTTGAATATGAAACAATACATTAGATTTAATAGCTTTTGACATTTTTATACATAAAACATTTTTATTTTATGTACAAAATTAAAATAGGCATTAGAGTATATTTCGGCTAACATTTTGTATATCCCATAATTCGGAAGTATATGTTGTACGATTAAATGAAAAATACAGTTGTTAATAAAAGAAAATAAGTAATATATAATTGTATAACAATTTTTATACAAACACAATATATTAACACAGTAATATATTTATGAATTTACCCTTTTCTCAATATATTGCGTGTAAACATTGTAAATTAGCACAAGGTCTTAAGTTTTTAATTAAAATTTTTCGCTTTCTCATGTCCGATCTAAATTAAATTCAAATGCATAATGCATTTTGCGCAAGTTAACCTACAATGATAAAACATTGCAAAACTTGCATTTTTAATTGTATTTAGAATAAAATAAATATTCTTTCTTCAAAAAAATAAGAAAAAGAAACAAAAGTTACTGCAGAAATTGTAATTAAATAAATAAATTCAGCGATACTGAATGATTCTGTTTTTCTCATCATGTTTAATATTGCTTTTCACATATTACATTTTATTCGTGTTGGATACGTTACTACACGTTGACTTACGTGCCGGCTGATGTAACAAGAGGAAGCTTGCTCGTTAGTTCCATGTGTGTAACGATCTTTTTGACAATAGATCGTAATAATCAGTATTATAACATCAAATGAAAAGGTTTGATAATTAATTGACATTGAAATTAAGAAATAATCTTAATCTAGTAAGCGCAATCTGTTTTGGTAGTATTTCCTAACCTAAAAATTTCATGTCACTGCTAATTATAGGTTAATTATAGGTGAACAATTGGAAATTAACGAGAAAGCTGATATTTTAATGACAAAGAAACAATAGAAACAGTGATTTATTTGCCTATTCAAAGATTGCTGTAATTTAAAAATGCCGACTATTGCAGTGAAACGTGATTTATTATTCCAAGCATTGGGCAAGACGTATTGTAAGTAAGATAATGCAGAAGTAACCATATTATCCATGTAACATTACTAATCTTTAAAAAAAAAAACTATCATATGAATTGTACTATTTAATTTTGGATTAACTTTTATTATAACATTGTTACATTATATCATATTACAATATAAATAAATATTTTTAAATATTATATAATATAAATAAATATTTTTATTGCCTTTATTCTCATCATTATATATTAATTTCTTTGTTACAATTGATCTTATTTTTAGAAGGCATCTTTGAATATATTAAATTTGAATTTTTTTCCAGCGGATGATGAGTTCCAAGACTTGTGTTTCAAATTTGGTTTAGAACTAGATGAAGTGGTAAGTAATAAATTCTGAATTCTATCTCATTATTAATATATCTATATTACAACTCACAATAATTATTGAATTTTTTATAAACAGACAACAGAGAAACAGATGATAGCAAGAGAACAAGGTTCTGACCAAGATATAGATGCGTCTGAAGAAATTATCTATAAAATTGATATACCTGCTAATAGATATGACCTCTTGTGCCTGGAAAGTCTAAGCATTGGACTGCTTATATTTTTAAACAAGTAAGTATTGTACACTTTGTATTTTTATAGGTTCAATTTTATTATTTCCTAAATATCTTATTCATAATTTAATATATAAAATATCTTATTCTTTTTCTTAAATAGCATATCTATTCCACACTACAAGGCGCTAAAACCAAAAAAGATGGAAAAGATTGTAATGAGTCCAGAGGTATGTATAATATTTTCAGAACATTAATTATCACGATTTGTTTTATATTAAATAATTATTTTGTCATGTTTTTCAGTGCTTGAAAGTAAGAGGACATATAGTTGCAGCAATTTTGCGAGATGTTACTTTTACACAGGATTCTTATAATAGTTTTATCGATCTTCAAGACAAGTTGCATCAGAACATAGGAAGAAAGCGTAGCCTAGTTTCTATTGGCACTCATGATTTCGATACAATTAAAGGCCCATTTCTTTATGATGCAAAACCGCCATCTGAGATATGTTTCAAACCACTCAATCAAAATAAAGAATATACAGGAGAAGAGATTATGCAATTGTATGCAGTAAGTATATAATTTCGCTACATTTCTGGATTCTAGAAAACTTGTTATAAATATGTCTAATTTAATATTTACAGACGCATGCACAACTGAAACAGTATTTACCCATCATAAAAGATAGTCCTGTTTATCCTGTCGTATATGATAGTAATGGAGTTGTTTTATCTCTTCCTCCTATCATCAATGGAGATCATACAAAAATTACGCTTAACACGAAAAACATTTTTATTGAATGCACTGCAACTGATCTCACAAAGGTACGTTGTCGTATTATTTGTAATACATGTATTTTTTTTGTAATCAACATTTAAAGAAATGTTATAATTAAAAAATAAAATACATGTAACTAATATTTATTAATACACATAATAATGCACATTAAAAATTTTATAGGCAAGAATAGTGCTGGACACTATAGTCTGTGCTTTCAGTCAGCATTGCAAAAAGAAATATACAGTTGAAATTGTAGAAGTAGTGTATCCTGATAATAAAACTTTTTATTATCCGGATTTAAAGTATCGGACAGAAGAAATTGACTGTAACAAAGCGACAAATTACGTTGGTATTAAGTAAGTGATTGATTTTTTTATTATAGACGTTATTAATAATGATAATCAATAAAAAAGACAGTTATTTAAAAGCTTCCATGTATACTGCTTGTACATGTACAATATAATTTTTATAGACAAACACCAAAAGAGGTTGCAGAATTATTATCGAAAATGTCTTTAAAATCTAAGGTGAAGGATAATGATAAATTAGAGGTAGAAATACCACCAACAAGACACGATGTAATACATCCCTGTGACATTTATGAAGACATCGCCATCGCCTATGGATATAACAATATAAAAAAAACTGTACCATATATGTCGACAATTGCAGCAGAGGTAAATTTAAGGAATTTTCTGATTGAATGTAATTTTATATATTAACATACTATTTATATGCATATGTGAATCATAGTTTCCACTCAACAAACTCACCGACCAAATTCGAATAGAGCTGGCGCAGGCAGGCTTCACCGAAGCGTTAACTTTCTCTTTGGTAAGTTCTTAAAAAAAATTTAATGTAAATTGTTTTTAATATTGTGTACTTTACAGTGTTCACGAGAGGATGTAGCGGATAAATTGGGACGTAAGATAGAAGATATACCAGCAGTCCACATATCCAATCCAAAAACTCTGGAATTCCAGGTAAACTAATTGATATAATGTTGAGCATATATATATATATATATATTAATGAATAAATTCTTGTTGCAGATTGCGCGTACTACACTCTTACCAGGGTTACTTAAAACGATATCTTCGAATAAGAAAATGCCATTGCCTCATAAATTATTTGAAGTTTCCGACGTTGTATTGCGAGACAATACAGCGGAAGTCGGTGCGCGCAACAATCGTCGTTTATGTGCGGTATATGCTAATAAATCGGCTGGTTTCGAGATCATTCATGGCCTAGTAGACAGAGTGTTATTATTATTAGAGGTTCCATGGAGCACTAACAAAGACAACACTGGATATTATCTGCGCGCAGCTGATGGTAAAATACAATATTCCTTTTAAAAATATAACTGATAATGAAACGGATATAAAATATTAAAGTTCACGAACGATATTCCTGTTTTTATAGATCCAGCATTCTTTCCTCAGCGATGCGCCGAAATTGTCTGTTACGGCGAAGTGATAGGAAGAATGGGAGTTTTACATCCGGATGTACTTTCGAAGTTTGACTTGAATATTCCATGTTCCGCAATGGAAATAGATATAGAATCATTTTTGTAATGAAAGTAAACAAGTAACAATATGAATTTGGCTCAAACAAGAATTTAACTTATTAATCTTGGATTGTATTCGTATCTTGAAAGAAATTTGTGATAATGTAATTTATCTGGTTTATTTATAAAAGTTTATTGATACATTTTTAAGCACGTTAATTATATTAAAATGCTTCTCATGACTTTTGGTAAAATAAAACTGTGTCTATTATAGGTCAACAAATATTACTATAAGTATAATATTTAAGTTAAAATGTTTGGACATATATAGATATGTTAAATGTATTATGTTTTGTACTTTTTCCTTAAAACTTATTTATTGGCAACATGGTCAGCAATATTACAAAATTGTATTTAATATGTATAACAATACCTAAGATGTCTAATATTTTTAAAGTTTGTCTTTATATGTTCTAAAGTTATCTATCTACAAAAGCATAGCAGAAAATAAGGCAAAAGTACAGAAAATATTTTGGCTCACAATGTGTAGACACAACAAAAACAGTCACTTCTTCAGCATATTCTATATTTTTGTTTTTTCTTTTGCAAGTTTATTTTCAATATGTAATAAGTAAATAACACAAAAAGTCCCATTTAGCTTCTATTTTTCTTATTTTTTCACAAAGCAGGAATACCGTTATATAAGCTAGCGTGACAAATATTCCACACGAGTGAATGAGTAATTGAAGTTACGCGCCACGCGCGGCTAGTGCCGCGCTTCGTCGGATTTCGGAATTACTTAGGCGCAACCGACGGATGTGCAACCCCGCAGGTCAACCGCGAGAGGTGGCATTCGGGACTGCTCTCGCCGTCGTCGGCCATAGTAGCAATGGCGGGTGTTAGCTTACGTGAATGACGGCGACCCGTGCACACGAGAACGTATTGTCGCATAGTCGCGAATCGAGCGAGTGTACCTTGCGCGTATCGTCGTCGCGTTACGGTTATACCAGCGGGATAACTGTGTGTCATATGATTTATCTGGAGGGTAAAGATGCAGAATGTAGCACAAGGTACGACCTCGGATAGCCAGAAAAGCCACGAAAAGCAGCAGTCCGCAGCAGCAGCAGCACCAGCAGCCGCACCAGCGGCGAACGTTCACCACGACGGTTCTGGGAAGACGTCGTCCACGCCGCAGTCTTCGAATTCGAGCCCTACGAAGTCGGAGACCGAAACCTTTTCCGAGCTGCAGCCGCGCTTTATGACAGACTCGTCGGAGAGCGAGGAAGACAGCGTTTCCGAGGTAAACGCCGTGAGCGAGACACGGGCCCCGCTAATGCGCGACGTTGATAAGATTATCCGTGTGTGCACGATGGCTCGGAACGTGAGAGTGAGAGAGAGAAGATGAACGGTAAGAGAGAATGAGAAAGAAAGATCGGGAAAGAGGGAGAGAGAAAGAGCGAGAGAGAGAGAGAGACAGAGAGAGAGAGACAGACAGACAGACAGAAAGAAAGAGAGAGAGAGAGAGAGAGAGAATACTTGTGTGCGTGCGTTTGTGTGTAGAGAGATTACACTTGTGTGCTTTTCTTGTACGTGTGCAGATATACGTGTGCATTTCTCGAATGAGTCTTTGCGAATCTACGAGTATGTTCATTAAAAAATGCTTCGCCGATACGATTGTATTTTGCGCGAGCATTCAATCGTCATCCATATCCTCGTCATCCATATCCTCGTCATCGTAGTCGTCGCTAACGTCGCCTTCGACGTCGACACCATCGTGCTCGTCATTGTCGTTCCGCAGGGCGGATACACGCTATCTCATAGATCGCGTTCGTCGGTTCTAGGAACAACGCTGCATCCCGATCTCAAATTAGTAGCATCAACCTCTGCCGATGCTTTATCAAGCTTCCCTATCTCTTTTTCTTTCTCTCTCTCTCTCCCTCCGTTGGCATTTCCTGCATTATTTCCTACGTTTCTATTAATGTGCATTGTAGCATGCATCGACGATATCGACGATGTTACGCGCTCGTTACACGCCGGATCGATCGCAACGATCTACGCGTGTGAACGCGTATAAATATATACATATGTATATATATTATATTATATATATATATATATATATAAGTTTATATATATATATATATACATTTACGCTCGAATATGCACATATACGCTACATACATATTTGTCGCAGATACTATGTCATGTACATTCTTTTGTGTATTTAATATAAATGAGGATATTCGTCACAATGAGAACTACGAGATGATAACGTCGAGATCATTTCCGTTGAACGTGTAACACTAGTTCGCAGTCGATTAGATTTGAAATTTTTACAAGCTGCGCTTCAATTCAGGATTTTAACATGTATGTGTGCACGGAGGATATTTGGCACACGCATTATACGGATTGCGTTCACCTACAGAGCGAATTTCAAATCTCGAGCGACAGCGGGTTTCAAGCAGATACGGGGTCGTGAAAATCGAATTTGAATCGCTTGAGATGCAAATTGTTTCGATCGAAAACTTCGTAAGGCAGGCTGAGTGATATACGACTGGTTTACGCACGCCGATTCTTTCTAGATTACGATCTTGTCTGTGGTGCAGATAGTTAAGGATAATTTAGAGAAATTAGCGCTAATCAACCGAGGCCGCGAGTCGTGAATCGTGCATCGGCGCGAGTCGACGCTGAAAAAAAAATTTTCTTCCTCTATTCGCGTTACGGGCGTAAATTATAACCTAGAAAAGGACGGGGAATCGTCAAGCTCGAAGTTAGCGAAGCTAGACCGACTCCGCGCAATCGAGGTTAAGGTCCGATTGCACAAGCGCTAACTCTGTCTAACTTCACTTCCTTTTTTTTCTTTCTGTACATTGCGAACAGGATCATAATCTAGAAAAGACATCGAGTCGCCGATCTAGAGTTATTTATTCTAGGTACAATCGAAGCCAATTTCGTTACAGTTCACGCTGCTGTTCATTAACGCTAACCTCGATTGGCTTTGTGCTTCTTTTCCATCTATTTCATAGGTAGGATTATAACCTAAAAGACACAATTTGTCGTATTTGTCGAAATAATTTAATTATGATTATTACCTGTTATTGTACAAGTATGATTAACATCCGGTCGCATTAAGATTGATTGAGATTTAACTTTTTTTTTGTCTATCTGTGCCGCAAAAAGATTTATAACCTATAAAACGTCCATTGATAATTAGAAAAGTATGATTCGTTATTAGTGCAAAATTGACTAATCTAAACTATCATATGTCATTGTGTAATCGCAATTAATATCTACTAAAATTGATTAAAATTAATTATAATTAACCTCATTTCTATCCGTAGTGCAAAAAAATTTTATTCTGCAAAACATCAAATGGTAATTGTAAAAAGCATGATCAATCTTTAATTTACACGCGCTATTGTGCAATCGATATTAATATCCAGTCATGCTAAAAATAATTAAGACTAATCCTAGCTAACTTACACTTTTTTTATTCATTTTTTTTTTTTTTTTTTATTATGTTGCTTGAAGAATTATAACCTATAAAACATTGCTAGCATTTGAACCAATTATGATTTTTTTTTCTGTAGTACTAATATTTTGAAACATTTTCTTCTCTTAAGTATTCTTTTTATCTATCTTTCTTGAATTTTTGCACATATCTTGCTTAGAGAGATCTATAAATATGTCGAGCATAGATATGTGTTATCTTTTTAATGAAAATTTCTCTGAAAGATAATTACAGCTGAACTTGAGACTAATTCTACTTATTTCTTATTGTTACTGTAAAATAATTATTTTTATTCTTTTTATATAATATTTGTTTACTTATTAGTTTAGCTTCTGGACCGTTTCTTTTTTTTTCTTCAAAGCCGTGGATATAAACCTAGCTACTTTATTTAAACACAAAAGATAGAAAGGGAGAGAAACAGATCTGTAACTGATTTTGTATAATTTTTACATTGATTTAAGCAATTGAATTTTGTTGCTATATTTAATATAATAATACAGCAGTTTTACCAAGTTAAACTTGTAAACACTTAGCGGATAAAGTAATAAACTATAATTAGCATTGACTGTGTGTGTGTGTGACATTAGTAGAAACAGTCCTAAGAATTCTCAGCTGCATCAAGACGCATGTTTCTTCCTTTTTCTTCTCCTCTGAGTTTATCGGTATCTGTGTTCGTTGTCTAATGAGTTTTATATTGGCTACCAGGTGTCTTCGCCTCATTCGATGCCGGTTAGCCGATCTTGGTGTAGATGGCCACTCTCGCGTGGCCTCCTCATCGCGGAGGAACGCAGGAACGAAGAAAGGGAGGAAAAGAAAGGAGGAACGTCGGGCGCGGGGAAAGAGTTATATAACCAGAACATGTATGCGTTTTAATAGTCGTGAAAACGGAGTAGCCGACGTCGACGTCTAAGCATCGTCCTCTCTTTTCGCCGTTTCTATCCGCTTCTCTCTTTCTCGTCTCCTCGTCGCTCGCGCAATTCCCATCGTCCTTCCTCCCGTCTTCGTTCCCTCTTTCCCTTCCACTCCTACCTTCTTTCTCTCGTTATAGTGCACGATAAGAGCGACTTCTACCTTTCATCCTGACGTCTAAGCGAGAGCACCGCGACGCGACGCCTATCGCCGAGGTGCAGAATGCGAATGTCGTTCCCATCCTTCTTGGCATGCCGCGTGTTCCGCGGTGAGCGACAGAGAGAGAAAGAGAGAGGGGGTGAGTGAGAGAATGAAAGAGGAAGAAGGGAAGAATGAATGCATGTGTGTATAGACAGTGGCGGATCTCTACGTTAATAAAATTTGGCCTGAGGGACGTGAAGGGGCTGCCAAATATTTTGACACTTGTACATTGTTTCTTAAACATTCCATATCTGCATTTCCGCATTGAATGTGGAATACTAATTTCACAAATATTTATAAATTCTTGAAATATTTCTAATCTCGTTTCTTTAAAGAGTCCTCCACTGTTGAACCTCGGATTCTCGGAAAACGTACATCTGCCGCTGTGCATAGGTATGCGAGTGTACGACTGTGTAGCTGGTTAAAGTGCTTGCTTAGACGCGTGCGCGCATTCCCGTGCACACGGGGGCGTGTGTGGCGTGCGTGAAATGCTTACGCCACAGGAACCCGTATACGAACACGAGTGTGCCGCGTACTACGCATTCTATACGTATACGCAACATATACGCACTTGTGTGCCATACGCGCTCGCACGTGTACGGCTGCATTATACAGTGTATGTATATAGATAGTCATTTGTATGTGTTAGTACCGTGTACACGATGCGCGAGCAACGATGAGCGTGCCTCCGTTCGTTCGCATCGCCGTCGGCTTACGCGCGCCACCCAGCGGATCTCGCGCGATACCCTCGCGTTCTACGCTCGCGAGTGTGCCCGCACGAGTTCCACGGGCGCCGACTAAACCGGAGAGCCGCAAACTCGCCTGCCAGCTCTCTCTCTCTCGCTCGTCGTGACAAGCCCGATCGTCCGCTCTCATCCGGTCGTCGTTCGTTCGTGCGGCATCGTCGTAGCATTTGTCGCACCTCCCGCTGTGTGCGCCCGCCGCGCGCTGGTCGATGTGTATGCGTGGAAGCGCGACCAGCGGATAGCAGAGCCACCATACTATTCTGTATCCTACCAACGCTCGCACGGACGTTCCTTGTTCGTGATATTCGATCGCATCACGTCTGTACCGCCTGATCGCGTTCCAACGGCGAGGGAAGGAACCCTGTGACGAGGCGTCAAACCCGATCGTCGCCATCGTCGTGTGCGCCTCAGAGAGTGACGAACCCGAGTGCCCGACACGAATGTCGTACGCAGCTCGATGGGATTATTGTCCTCGCGCTGATCATGTCGTGAGTGAAGAGAAAAAACAAGAAGGAGAACGACACGTCGTCGTCGAGTAGGTATCTGCGAGTTTGTACGCGGAAGTGACAGTGTCGTCGTCGTCCTCGTCGTCGTCCTCGTCGTCGTCGTCGTCGTCGTTGTCGTCGCCAGCGCTATGGGCCGCTCCTCCTCCTCCTCCTCCTCCTCCGTCTTTACGGGAGGAACGGCCGCGCGCATCGCTGAAGTGCTGAAACGTCACTTATTGTCGTGTCGTCGTCGTTGCGCCGCGCTCGCCTAGAAAACACAATTATACTTTCACCCGCGTTCCCGATTTTACGTTTATTGTCTCGTGATCGTGCCTCCTCCGCGCGCGACTCGCTCCGCGGTTGCATGCGGTCGCGCGATAACGCGAAACGCAGATACGGGTGTTCCGTCGGGAGAAGCGTGTTTCCTCCGCGGGACATCTCCGCTCTCTAATCCCACGGCCAGTTTATTTGATTTCCGGAATCTCGACTCGTGACGTGTGCGCGATTTATCGTGCGTGCCTTTGTTCATCGATGCCGATCGTCGACGGACAAAGTTGCCATGCCACGATGTAGATTGACATTATGGGACATTTATAAAATTTACACATATGCATTAAAAATAATTGATTCGTGCCGAGATCGATCATATGGATGAGAGTGTAAATATAAAGTATATAAGTAAAGTGATTAGAAAATTAATTTATTACTTTTCTATTTTATTCTTTTGTTTTTTTTTATTGTTGCGCGCTTTGATTGATGGATTTTGTTCAATTGTAGGTGGAGTGTTTTGCGATAGATCCAGTTGAATTGGACGAAGATCATACCGAGTCGTCAAAATTTCTATTGACACCTGAAGACCCTGAACGTTCCGTGGATCCTGAAACTCAAGCGCGACTAGAGGCACTTCTCGAAGCGGCCGGAATAGGGAAATTGTCATCGGGTGATGGGAAACATCTAGCAGACCACGAGGTGCTGCGTAGGTTAACATCCAGTGTTTCTTGTGCTTTGGACGAAGCTGCGGCAGCATTAACACGTATGCGTAACGACAATCCACGTACGCCGAACGAAAAGCGCTCTCTCGTCGAGGCGTGCACCGACGGAGACGTCGGCACCGTTCGGAAATTGTTGACGGAGGGTCGGAGTGTACACGAAACTACCGAGGAGGGAGAGAGTTTGCTCTCTCTGGCTTGCTCAGCTGGTTACTTGGAACTTGCTCAGGTTTGGTGGTTTCTTCTCTGTAATTTTCGAGATTTTCAATTCTATGTGTGAATTCCGGATATATGAAACTGTGCATAACATTCCACGAGATATTTTGTCAAAGTGCATGGTGTACGTGTCACTGTTATACGTGTGGATAAATGATTTATACGGTACACACGTTTAACACACAATTTTTGTCACACAGTGCGTGTGATGAATCTAATTTTATTGTAGAATCGTAGAAGTGAGTTTGTACAAGTTGTATCTGAATTGTATACAAAGAAGCCTATATTTTTAGTAATACTTCCTGTAATTATTATATTGTTGGGTATGTTTATGCGAGATGCCGTCATTCTTGACACATGATAGAGAATCTTGTCTATTTTTGAAACTTCTTGTAATTATTATATTGTTGGGTATGTTTATGCGAGATGCCATCATTCTTGACACATGATAGAGAATCTTGTCTATTTTTGAAATTTATTTATTATGTTTATAAAGTTTGCATTAGCGCAAATAATATTTGTTAGCATAATATTATATTTTTGCAACAACTACACATAAATGATTAATATTATTTAATTTGGTGAATAGCAGTATTAATATCCAATCAATTTGGCTGTAATAATACATTGGCACAGTAATTTTTATCATACAAAAAAAGAAGTAAGAGTTATAATTTGTTGTGTTATGGAGTGATATTTAAATTTTTTAAATTTTGTTTTGATATTATATTTGTGTTATTTAAAAAATTTGTGAATTTCTATATTAGCATGTGTATAAAAAATTCAAATTTATTCATGTAATGCGATATTACAGCCATTGTAAAAATCATTGTTTAATGGTACATAGCTGCTGTTTCATTTTAAATAAGTTTTTTTTCAGCTGTATGTTTAATTAAAATTATCTTGGCTATATTTGTGACAATTTTATTTTTAGTATGCAGTTATATTTTTTGTAATAACATTGTACAATTAACTTCTAATTAGTAAGCTCTATTAATTTTTGCCTATTAGACAAATTACGGGAAATGCTCATATAAAAAGTTCTATAAAACATTAGTATTTTTTGTTTCAACTTTTTTTCTTGTTTATCCAACTGTCATATTAATCGTTGACATGAAGTTGGCATTATAATCATATGCAATCATAAAGTAAGAAAATTAATTTGCAATTAAGATCGTAGACTGATGAAATTTATCTATCATTGTATCTTTTTGCAAAATGTAGGTTCTATTAGCAATGAATGCTAATGTAGAAGATCGTGGTATCAAAGGGGATTGCACCCCTTTGATGGAAGCCGCCAGTGCAGGACACGTAGATATTGTGAGCTTGCTAATTGCTCACGGAGCAGATGTCAATGCTCAATCTACTTCAGGTAAACCCCACCCGCTATTTATTTATACATATTTTTCACTTTACACAATGTCATCGAATTCTTTCATATACAAGAATATCGTGTTTATTTCGACGTCACATTAGCTGAGAATAATATTAATGTCGTACAACAACATGCGCTGCGAAATATTCACTTTGAATTATAGGTAACACTCCTCTTATGTATGGATGTGCTGGCGGACATGAAGATGTTGTGCGTGTCTTATTAGAAGCAGGGGCCAATGTTGAAGATCACAATGAGAATGGTCATACACCTCTGATGGAAGCAGCAAGTGCCGGACATGTTAAAGTAGCGAAGATTTTGCTTGAACACGGCGCCGGCATTAATACGCATTCCAATGAATTTAAGGAATCTGCATTAACGCTGGCCTGTTACAAAGGGCATTTAGAGATGGTTCGTTTCCTGCTGGAAGCTGGTGCAGATCAGGTACGATTATTATTTTCTGGCATAAAAATCAAATGATTGCATTCAGCAAACGATGATTATTACTATCGACAGAATAGTTGCTATACTTTTTCCCATAAAATTTGGATGATGTCCAAAAACCTTAAGATTATTGTCCTCGTAATTTTCCGCGTTTGAAACTAATTGCAAGAGAAAGTGTTGCTTGTGATTACTTATAGATCCTATTAGCTCTATTTTTAACAACTTGGCTGCTTATTCAGCCGTGGTATTTTCTGAATGCGATTCATGATTACACGAAGTGGAAATTTCTAAGCAAGCTAATAGGCAAAGCCAAGTAGAAAAGAGGAGATTGCAAATTCGATTGACCACGCTGTATTGTTGCTTGGTATCTCGATATATTGAATGGGATCGATGCTAGCAACAATGCGGCGTAACTAATGTTATTTTCTTACGTTTGTTAGCTTTATGTTGTATACATTGACACTCTGTTTTAGTCATTTGTTACGCTGTAGTCTTCAAGTACAGATCGTATGCTAAAGATTTAATGATTAAGAACATTTTTTTGTTCTTTTGTTTTCAACTATTTAAATTTAATATTAATATTTTTTTTAGGAGCACAAAACTGATGAAATGCATACAGCTCTTATGGAAGCCTCTATGGATGGTCATGTTGAAGTTGCCCGTTTACTCTTGGATTCGGGCGCTCAAGTGAACATGCCAACTGATAGCTTTGAATCTCCATTAACATTGGCTGCGTGTGGCGGTCACGTTGATTTAGCTATGCTTTTAATTGAGCGTGGCGCCAATATAGAAGAAGTCAACGATGAGGGTTATACACCATTGATGGAAGCAGCACGTGAAGGACATGAAGAAATGGTTGCTTTGTTGTTGAGCCAAGGTAAGTAATGTTGTGCGAATTGTCAAACGATAAACAAATTAAACGAATACGAGCGAGTGCTCATGAAGTGCAATTTATCCGAAGGTGCAAACATCAATGCCCAAACTGAGGAGACTCAGGAAACTGCGTTAACCTTGGCTTGTTGTGGCGGGTTTTTGGAAGTTGCCGATTTTTTAATCAAGGCGGGAGCAGATATTGAATTGGGTGCATCGACTCCGCTCATGGAAGCTGCTCAGGAGGGTCATCTCGATCTCGTTCGGTATTTACTGGAATCTGCTGCAGATGTTCACGCTCAAACGCAAACTGGAGATACGGCACTTACGTATGCCTGTGAAAATGGTCATACTGACGTGGCGGATCTTTTGTTGCAATACGGCGCTGACTTGGTATGTTTTCATCAATAATTGTAATAATCAGCTTGCATAATTTTTCCTTAATTTTATTTTTTTAATTTTATTTTTTTTTATCTGTATCGAAGCATGAATTACCTTTGTCAATTACATCAATCTGCTTTGTATTTCAGGAACATGAATCGGAAGGAGGCAGAACTCCTTTGATGAAAGCTTGCAGAGCGGGTCATTTGTGCACAGTTCAATTTCTTATATCGAAAAGTGCAAATGTTAATCGACAAACGACGAACAACGATCACACGCCTCTCTCTCTAGCTTGTGCCGGTGGTCATCTCACGGTAGTGGAATTGCTTCTTGCTCAGTCTGCTAATCCGTTTCATAAACTGAAGGTAAGTTCTTGTACTTCAAGTACAACATTCGAGTAAAAATCAATATTTTCATGATTATACATTTCCAATCTAGTTATACATGCTCAATTATTCTCACGCAACATGTATTTTGTCACATAATAATAAGATTAATATGCTACTAACGGTGTATTAAATCTCTTGATTCATTTCAAGATTTTGCTCAAGATATTTCAATATTTTTATTTAATTGAAAAGAATCTGAAACTCTGACCGAAACATAATTTTTGTATAGTAATTCATAATAGTAGTTTTTACATTTCGACAACTGTGTCTTTAGTTCTTATTATTTTCTATATTATTGTTGAAAGAATCACGTTACGTTATTCGATACTTTTATATAATTATTTTAGGATATTGATATTACAATATATAATTCCATAAAATATTGTAGGATAATTCCACAATGCTGATAGAGGCTGCAAAAGGTGGTCACACCGCTGTTGTTCAACTTTTATTGGATTATCCTCATAGCATTATGATGAGTGCGCCTCATCATAATGCTACTGCTGCACCTGCGCCCATGTTATTACCGCAACAGCAGCCTCCACAACAACAACAACAACAGCAGCAGCAGCAGCAGCAGCAGCAGCAGCAGCAGCAGCATCCGTCTCAACAGCAGCCGTCTCAACAGCAGCAGGAGCAGCATGTAAGTCATCAGCAACACGTACCTCATCCTCAAACGTCAACACAGCCGCAACAACATCCACAGCAGCATCCACAACAGCAGCAGCAGCAGCAAACAGCAGAGCAACAGCAAGCTCAAAATCTACCCAAGCACAATACACAAAAGTCATTATTAAGGAAGAATCGGTCAGTGACCATGATGCCCGATATGAGCCTTACTTCCGCCGAAGCGCAGCAAGTTCGTTCGCAGCCCGCAGGAGAATCAGCTGTAATCACCAAGGACGATACCAATATCCTCGACAAGGGCAGCGGGGGATTCACGAGTTTGTCCGACCCTAACATTAGCCTTAGCCCGACGCCAGCAGCGTCAACGCAAGGGGTAAATGTTACCGAAAGTCGGAAAAATACTAGACAAGAGCAAATTCTTCATAAGCAACAAATACTTGAGGAATTACAAGTACGTTTTCAAACACTCCTCAATTAAATTTTTCAATTCACTCTTAAAGAAAAAAAAGATATATCAAAAAGAACTTGAGAACTTTTAGAATAATGACGCATTTTAGTGATGTAATAAATTTAAAAAAAGAGAAGCATTCAAATTTAAGAAATACATTTTTGTTTTTATGGACCTTTATCTCCCTTTATGTGAAATTTTTCCATTGCGTAATTATATCTTTCAGAGGGTAGAGCGAGAATTACAAATTAAAGGCGCAGGACATTTATTTTCTGGCCCACGAAATTCCATTATTAATCAACCTCAACAGCAACAGCAGCAAGATCCTAGTGAAACAGAGGCATTATTACCAAGTATGTTAAACATCGACTTACCAGCACAATCAGCAACCTCCCCTCATGGTAGGTTCTTCTTTTCACTCGTCCATCGAAATTAGATGCTCATATTGCAAATGTTCTCAACGCAATCGTTTTAATTTGAAAGGATTGGTTTGCACGACCGGAATGTCCGGTGGCTCGTTGACATACCAAGGGACTAGCGAAGTGGCGTTGGCCTGCAGCGCTTATCTCGACGGTAAGATAATGGGGATGCAAGCAGCGCAGTTCCAGAAGACGCTTTCCGTGGCTCCAACCGCGACGGAGACCTTCCCCACGAATACATTTCCCTCCTCGCCACCGCTGTCTCTTGCGCCGTTGCCTGCTACAACCGCCACTACCGTTTCATTGATTACCGCTAGTTCGTCGACGACTACGCCAAGTCCGCCGAGTATCTCCACTCCTCCGGCAGTTCCTTTAACTGTTCATCAATCCACCATTACTGCGAGTAGCGATGTCAGTCAGAACACTGCAATAAGCGACCGTCCGAAGGCTAAACCCGTGTCCAAAAAGGAAGGGAAGAACGTTCGGAAGGCCGCGTCCGGTATGGCGATGGCGAAATTACAGCAAACTCAAGCGACCATAATGGCTGGCTTGCAGCAACAATATCAGCAGAAGCAGCGTCAACATACCTACCAGGTGCAACAAGTTCACCAGCTGCAGCAACTAAATCAGCAATTGCAACTTCAATTGGATCAAGTACAGGTAGACTTTGCTCTTATCTTTACGCCGCTCATGTTTCTTAAAGCGCCAAACAGTAATTTGATCGGCTGCAATAAAATTTCACTTCTCAGATACAGCAGCAATCGCAGCAGCCGCAGTCGCAACCGCAACAACCTCAGCAGCAAGCCGTGGTCGGTAATAACGCGAGCAGTATACTCATGCCCACTCAAATAATGTCACATTTGCATCCAACGCATCATCATTTGCATAGCCAGGTAACTGTGCTGTTTGAATCGATTACTCTTAAAACAAATTGACATACGTTAAAACACGAATATTTTTCACAGCAAACCGCGCAAGAGAATCTTTCCGAGCAGGCGGATCCCGAAATAACGCGAAAGTACAGAGAAAGTGCTTGTGCATTTTTTACGGGAGCTCAGAAATCGAAAACCTTCTCTACCAATGAAAGAATGCTGAAATTGGAAGACGGCACGGATATTCCTTTCGATGATGCGTTTGAACTTTTTCGCTCCATCAATTTCGATGAGGCTGTCGATGGTAAATATCTTCTGAAATTTAAAAGGCGAAGAAAATTATTTGTAAAATTATCACATGTTTTATTTTTTTTTTTTTTAATAGCAACAGAAGATCAAGAAAAACTCGAATTGAAGAGACTAGATGTATCGAGCACTAAAGAACAGCCGCAACAACAGCAGCCGCAGCAGCAGCAGCAGCAGCAGCAGCAGCAGCAGCCGCCACAGCAGCAGCCACAGCCGCAGCAGCAGCATTTACAACAATCTACGCAAATAGTTCAACAAAGCGGAAGTCCGCATGCGTCCCAAGAATATTTCCCTGGTCTCGTACCGTCGGTTTCTTTACCGACGTTACCATCGTTGCAAGTGACAAGTGCCGGCGTGCAGATCGAAGCAGACATATCAGCGGGTTTGCAATTGACGAGTACGCAGTCCTTGCAGAGCCCGGTATTGAAGAATCATATCCGGGCCTTTGAGGAAGGCTTCCGCCAAGGCAGCAGACACTTTCGCGAATGCATGCAGCATATTAGCAGCGACACCTTCCAACCCCAACTGCTGCTTCAATCATCTCAAATAAGTAAGTTTGCTCGACCTCTCGCATCCAGTATTTTCACTGTGGCGAATTTTTAATTCTCCTTTTTATCGTCAGCCTTTCCCACGCAAACGTTACCAACTGTGAGCGGAGCGACGGGAATAATAGATAGTATACCTCATCAGTCGAGCGGTTATGCACAATCCACGACTTGCAGCACCAATCAAGTTCAAGTAGCCACGCAGACTCAAGCACCGGCTACAACGACCGCCGCGAATGTCACGGCCACTGATAAGAAGCAAGTATACACTGCTCCGACGACCGGCAAAGGCAAAAAGGCTAGATATCCTCTTTTGGCTCAGCAACAATCTTGTCAGCAACAGCAGACTGCCAGTGCTCAGCAGACTCCCAATTTTCCCGCGCAGAATTATCAGCTGGACCCAGCAGGTGAGAGATGTATACACTATATATTTTTTTAAATGTAAATTCATCAGTAAGCGACGATCCCGAGGATAGGTCGTTAGGAATCTTCACTTTATCGATCAATGTCCGATAGGTGTTCCAACTGTTGGAGGATATGCGACGAATCAAGTTCCGCCCGCTCCGTTCTCGTGTATGGATGTGGATTCCGAAACTGACAGCAATCACGACACCGCGCTAACTCTGGCTTGCGCGGGAGGACACGAAGATCTTGTCGAGCTTCTTCTGAGTCGCGGGGCAGATATAGGTAAGTGAATATCGAATGTTGTGCGTATAATATTGATCGATGCTGGTAAACTATTTAACAAAATTTTTATGTATTTGAAAAAAATGTATGAAATGAATACGTCTAATAAAAATATGCACAATATGAAACTTTCGCGAAACGAGCAAGCTGACGTACAATTTTGTTACAGAGCACAGAGACAAGAAGGGATTCACTCCGCTCATCTTGGCGGCAACGGCTGGGCATCAGAAAGTAGTCGAGATTCTACTCAATCACGGAGCTGACATTGAGGCGCAATCTGAACGCACCAAGGACACGCCGTTGTCCCTTGCATGCAGCGGAGGAAGATACGAAGTAGTTGAACTACTGCTCAATCGTGGCGCGAATAAAGAGCACCGAAATGTTTCGGATTATACGCCGTTAAGTCTTGCGGCGTCAGGTGGTTACGTGAACATAATAAAACTTCTACTTAGCCACGGCGCCGAAATTAATTCTCGTACTGGTTCAAAATTGGGTATATCGCCTCTCATGCTTGCAGCTATGAATGGTCATACGGGTAAGAAATCAATTGAGTTGAGAAATTATTTAATTGTAATAGCAAATTAGCGCCAGGCATATGTGCGAAAATTGTCATAATTTTGATATAAGATGCGATAAAGGTATAATAACGATTTACAGCGGCAGTTAAATTACTTTTGGACATGGGCAGTGACATTAACGCGCAAATAGAGACTAACCGCAACACAGCGTTGACGCTTGCATGCTTCCAAGGAAGACACGAGGTTGTCAGCCTTCTTCTCGATCGAAAAGCCAATGTCGAACATCGTGCCAAGGTAGTATACTTAACGTTTGAGTGTGTAACGTACGTAGCTTTCATAACACGTAATAATTGTTCTCTTTGTAAAGACTGGTCTGACACCACTGATGGAAGCAGCGAGCGGAGGTTACGTTGAAGTTGGCCGTGTGTTGCTTACTAAAGGTGCGGATGTCAACGCAACGCCCGTCCCATCGTCTCGTGATACTGCCCTCACTATCGCCGCTGATAAAGGACACTGCCGTTTCGTAGAACTCTTACTATCAAGGTGCTTTTTCGTATTATCTCGCGTTATCTCACATTATCGCGTTTTCCGTAGGGCACCGAGATAACGTTGATTTCGTTTTTCAGGGGAACTCAAGTTGAAGTAAAAAATAAAAAAGGGAACAGCCCGCTGTGGTTAGCTGCAAATGGTGGGCATCTTAATGTGGTGGATTTGTTGTATCATGCAACTGCTGACATTGACTCGCAGGATAACCGCAAGGTAAATGCGCTTAAAAATTTAGCTTCATAAAAAGCAATATGTAATTCTTTTTTTTTTTTATATTGAACAATTTAAGTAAAACAAACAAATTTTAAACTTTAATCATTACAAATAATTACTAAATTATTAACTTATAAATAAACGAAAACAAAAATTGTTCAATTAATATTCAAAATTATTTAATAAAAATAAATCTTGTGGCGATCAGGTTTCTTGTCTGATGGCTGCGTTTCGAAAGGGTCATATTAAAGTTGTCAAGTGGATGGTGAATCACGTAACGCAATTCCCAAGTGACCAGGAAATGAATAGATACGTACAGACCATTAATGACAAGGACCTTCTGGATAAATGTCAGGATTGCATAAAAGTTATTAGAGCAGCTAAGGAAACGCAAGCTGCTAAAGCATACAAGAACGCTAGCATACTATTGGAGGAACTAGATATGGAGAAAAACAGGGAGGAATCGAAGAAAGCGGCGGCCGCGCGCAAACGAGAGAGGAAGAAAAAGAAGAAGCTCGAGAAGAAGGAGGAGAAACGCAAACTCCACCAAGCGTATCACAAGAAAAACGAGACGGGTTTCGAAGATAAGGAAGAGAACGGAAAGAAATCGGGGGATGAGGAATGCGATCGGGCAGACGATAGCGAGCATGAAGGTGGCGATGAAAGAATGGAGAGCGTGCCGTCGCCTGTCAACAGAAGCCCGGAGGACCCGGATAGAGAAGAAGGCGATAGCGGTATAGACGCAAACAGTCAGGGCAGCTGTAGTAGCAACGACGTGAAGGCACGTGAAAAGAAAAAGGATAAAAAGAAGAAGAAGAGCAATAGTCCTACCAACAATGAGAAGGACACGTCTCCCCAGCGTTCACCCAAGACCCTTATTGCACAGAACACTAATCTGTCTCAAAACACAACAGCGTCGAATAAATCTCAAAGTAACACTTCAGAAAAGTAAGTACCTCTTTCTCTCGCATGTATATTTTTCTTCCTCTTTATATTTGTAGTTAAAATGTTGTTCTTGTGCGGAATTGAATTTTAAGATTACGGAAATAAAAATGCACATAATACACATACAAATTATATTGCATTATAATTTGTATCTAATTTATACTACAATTTAAACGTAACTGGCTTTTTATTACTTCAACATTTCAAATTCAGATTGTACATTTCAAACGTATAGGATCCTACACTGCGTCAATTTTCTGTCCGTCAATTTTCTGTCGCTTATACATTCGTAACTTTGAAGCAAAAATGTGAGACAACAAATACCTTCGTGACACATCGCCAACGATTTATGAAAGAATGGAATGACTACAGCTCGGACGAAAACACTAGAATAAGTGGTCATTTTATCATAAATCGTTGGTGAGTGTGTCACGAAAGTATTTGTTATCTCACATTTTTGTTTCAAAATTAACTAAAATAGTTGAGTCACTAGACATCCAGTAGAAACCAGAGGTTGAGAATTACAATTATCTCTTTATCGCTATCTCTGTGTCAACAGTAACGATCTCTAGTAATGACTATCGCAGTGTAGGATCCTATACGTTTGAAATGTACAATCTGAATTTGAAATGTTGAAGTAATAAAAAGCCAATTACGTTTAAATTGTAGTATAAATTAGATACAAATTATAATGCAATATAATTTGTATGTGTATTATGTGCATTTTTATTTACGTATAAATATATACATGGTGTAAGAAATTCACTGAATACACAAGATAACAAATAAAATGCACACAGTAATTTATAATATAAAAAATGAACGCCAAATAATTTTACGAATATTTCATAATACTGCCTGTTACTACATGCTTGAAAATTTCCTCAGGCGTATTATAACCAACGTTACCAGTGCAGTATCTGTGTCCACAACTTCGGTCACGACTACCAGAACATCCACCACCGTCAATTCCGATCGAAAGCTGAAAGGTCAATTGGTATTCGAATCGTCCAGGCATCCAGCAGAGAGGGAAGATTTTGAAGCAACTGGTAATGAGACTTACATTGCTGGCAAGGGAAAGAAGTCTTACAATAATCAGTACGATGGGGATTCTCTGAACACGTCGGCGAAAGCGAGTAACACCAGCCCTAAGCAAAGCGGAAAGCGTGAGGAGGGTTGGAAGGAAGTTGTGCGAAAGTAAGATATCCCGATAGTTTTTCTCAATAAATAACAAAAAAATTGATTTTACTTTTTCGATAGAGCCACGCGTTAAAAATACACGCATTTACTTCTGCAGGGGACAATCGGATGATTCCGGAAGGTTTATGAATTCCCCGTATCGCTCGAAAAAGGTTGCTGTTCCACCGAACGCCATCAGTCGGGTAATAGGAAGGGGTGGTAGTAATATAAATGCCATTCGCATCGCAACGGGTGCGCACATTGAGGTGGAAAAACAAAGTAAATCCCAAGGGGAGAGAATAATTACAATAAAGTGAGTATCGCGCGTTACGTCTTTTACAAGGTTTACACACTTTTTTGGAAAAGAAAACAATTGATCTTTATATTTTGCTGCATCTGTTGCTTTCAGAGGGTCTAGCGACGCTACAAAGCAAGCTCACTCTTTTATATCGCAATTAATTAAAGATCCAGATGTGGATGTCGGGCAAATGATTTCAAAGTCCAAGAGCGTCGTGACAACCTCATCGTGGGACAAATCTGTCTCTACCGTTGCCGTAAGTATTGCCGGGAATCGAATTTTTAATCGCGCGGACAAATTTTATACGATTTTTAATAAATTGAAATCCTCTTTCTAGTCGAGCAAGTCGAGGATTGGTTCTGTAAATAAAGCGCCTAATTTGGCGTCTAGTACAACCAATAACCAAATCAATAAATCGGGATATTCTTCAAACGTATCCACAGTAAGTCAGTTGGTTCCTCTACGTTCATCGTCTACTATTAAAATTGCTGGTGCTTTCTCTACATCTTTACCGCGTGCGACAGCGCCGAGGCTTGTGGCTGCAGGTAATGTAAAACAGATTAACCTTCCGTATATTAATAACAACGAAGGTTTTCTATACTTGTTCATTTTTATATCGATTCAATTTGAATTATTTTTAAAATTAAGTTTAATCAACTTTATGGCAACAAATTAACAGAATTAGAATTAATTATTAATACATTCATTTATTTTAATATTTTTATGTATTATTATGCTTATGCTCTTGTCAAAAAAAAAAGTATTTTTACGTTCGAAGCTGTAGTTCTGTGATCAATCGAATAGAAATCCAAAGTAAAAATAGTTGGTAAATATTGTGATTAATAGACGTGGTGTCCGCATTGAATTAATGCGAGAAATGTATATGCAGCAGAGAAACGTGCACAAGCAGTTGCCGCCCAGATGGCTTCCTCGTCTAACACCAAGACGACGATGTCATACACTAGTGCAATTATGACCGCTGGTAGAGCAGGGACAAAGATCGTTACAACCAGTACGACGCAGACGTTCGCAGCGAAGCTGTCTGAGATCACTGCCTCGACTCACAGTTCCACAACCGTCATCCAGTCCACTCACAGCGCATCGATGAACAAGCAGCCGAAACCGGTGGCGCAAGCCGCGACCGTGACCGTAATGTCGGCCACACCCGCGGCGACCGCTCACATGACCAACCAGCAACAGCAACAGCAGCAGTCCGTAGTTACTATATCACCGAAACACTGCCGACCACTGCCCAATTTGTCTGCCCAGCCAACAATGGCGTCCCATTATTCTGGAAAGTCGACTTATCCGCTTGGGACGAGCACGATTTCGTCATCCTCGTCCACAAGTACCGTAGCGGTAACCAACTGTTCCGAAAGTTCAGCTGTTTCGACATCGGCAATGTCCGTTCGTGTGACACCGTCACCACCCGTTGTAGTGTCTCAGCACACATTACTACCGCCGTCCCAGCAACAGCAACAACAGCAATCCGTGCAACAACAGCAATCACAACAAGTTCGCAGTGCAACGCCGGTCGTGATTCAAGAGCATCAACAGCAGCAGCAACAGCAACAGCAGCAGCAGCAGCAGCAGCAGCAGCAACAACAACAGCAGCAGCAGCAGCAGGCGCAGCAACAACAGCAACAACAACAACAGTCGCAGCAACCAGCAACCACTCTAGAGTATTCCTTGTTTAACGATACTTTTACCAAAGTCACGCAACAATCGGTGTGGGGTGCAAGAGACACCGAGACGCAAAAGGGTATGAATTTTGCTACTGTTGCTGGCGGTGGTGTATCGTCAAACTCTGGTTCGGGCTCGTCTACGGCTAAATTTGACAGCTCTCCACCGCAGGTACGTTGTGAGAACTATCTTGCATCTCTTACATTAATTGCATTTATTTTTTGAATTAAGGCCGAATAAATCGCACGGAAAATTTGCACAAATTATTTATCGATGGAAAAATGGAAATCTTTATCTTTTGCATATGTAATCACATCGAAATTCAGATATTTTATAGAAAATACTTAAATATATCGAAAAAAGTAAAGTAAATGAAGGCTCGTTAATTTTAATTATTTGTAGATTATAAAAATAAAATTCTGAAAATCAAAAAATTTGTTAATATAATCTGCAGATAATTACAGAAAAAAGATTTCAAATTAAAAACTGATATTTTTTCTACATTTTTATTAAGGATCTGAAGATATTTACTGATTTATGAATTTTAGAGTAATTTCTGTACTAAAAATAATTTCGCATCAATGACACTTGGGGCTCCCGTTGGTCGACGAAATAAAATGTGTTTTAAATTTGATGAAACGCAGGTGGATGCGTCTAAAGCTCCGGGATACCGGGGAACAACAATGTGTTCTCCAGTTTCCAGCAAGCCAGGTGCCACGAGCAATGCGTCGACCAATGTAATCGGCAGCGTGGTGTCGTGCTCCGTGCACAATAACCCTATGCAACCGGCGCAGTACCAATCTTCCACAAGTTACAATGAACATCCGCTACCAAACAAACCTCCCGGAAGTCTAGCGGTGGCTAGACCGGTGATACCCCAGCAGAACATCGACATGGGAACGGGAATGGCAGCGCAGTACAACCGACCGGCGGTCTTTCAGGGCGACCTGACGTCGCGGAACGCGACCCCTCACCAGCAGGCGCCGCACGTGATATCTTCCACGTCGCAACCGGCGCTAGACGTTGGGCTATTCAAAGCGAACAGCGGCGGCGGTTATGAACATCCGAACGTAAACTCTAGCTTGCTGAAGATGGTGCCGAACGAGAATCAGGGCGGTAATACCGCTCATCCCCTGTTACCGTACCATCCACACATGCAGAGTTTCGCTCAGACGGCGCCGTCCGCCTCTGTGACCACCGTTAGCATGTCGAGATTGAATCCTCGTGCTCCCGACTTCTCCAGTTCGTTGCATTTGAGCAATAAGCCGCAGGTGACAATGTTCAATCCCGCCGCAGCAGCGGCCGCTGCGGCTGGATCCGCCGGCCTGCATCCGGCGAACATGTTCGCCGCCACCGTGCAGGCGCCGCCGCCGTCCGCGATACAATCCAATAATCTGGCGATGCTGGGTAATTTCCCGCTGGGAAAGTATCAGCCACCGACGCGAGCGGCCCCGGCGGCGGCCAACGCCGGCATCTCGACGGCGGGACAGACTGCGCGCTGGCCGTTCGCCGCACCGGCACCGCACAGCAATTATCCTCCTCATCAAGACCAGATGATGAGTCAGATTAGTTTCTCCAATCACTTGGCGAACATCGGCGGACAGCCTGGCGGCATCGATCTTATCACGAGTCTAGAGAACGGTGGTTCACCGGCGATATCACCCTCGTCACCGGCCCAAGTGGCTCAAGAGATGAATCAGTTGAAGATGGAAGATCGCAAAGTGCCACGACCGATTGGCACCGAGCGTGCAACTTGGAAGAATTACTCAGCCGCGGGCATGGGCCCTGGCGGTGATGCCGATAACATTGGCGTCGGCGGCAGTTGGATGATCAATAATGAGAAGATGGGTTGGTCGAATTGCAGTCTGACGCCTGGTATCGACAGGCATCAAATGTTCCGGTCGAATCCTACCTACAATCAACGTATGTCCAACGTCGATCCGGAAATTCATCAGATCATGGAATCTACGTTCCAGGTACAAATCGCATGATTAGACGATTGTTTTATTAACTTGTACTTTATTCAATCGCTATACGTGTAAAGTGAATATTGCTGAAGTTATTTCGCGTTATTTGAAAACGAATAAGCATAGAATTGAGAAACAATTTGAAGTACAAGAAATTTATCACATTCTTATGCTTTGTATAATAAAATTTAATGAAATATAATTGAATTTTATATTTAAAAACGTTGCTAAAGACAAAACTCGTTTTTCAAAGTAATTACTATTCGAAATTCAACAAAATTAACATTTTTTTTTTAAACTAGAAAGATATCATTTCAATATTTCTATGTCCTCAATAATTTTTCGAATAGTTTATCTTTTTCTGTTTTTGGCAAATTGAATAACATCTTTGATAAAATCTCTGAAACAATTTTTGTATATTTATTTTCAAATCACAGCCAAATAGTTTCAGTAGTGATTATTATCTTGTATAAGAATTTTGATATCGCGTGAGAGAGGCGACTAATGAAAATTCTGATAATTAAAAAAAAGTAATAAGCAGAGAAGTGTGTTCAGCTTGGATGACACTTAGTTTTAGACCAGGATAAACGGTCAGACTTACAGGATTCTTAAAGAAATGTGTCGCAAACGCGCGTACAACTAACTCTATGTGTCTAGGGTCACGTGGATACTCAACAGCCGTTCCCGGCTAACGGAAACGCCGCGACTTTGTCGCTTATACCGGGGTTGGCGTTATTGCCGGGGCAGTATGGAACACCTGGCCTTGCGGAAATTCCCCCGAATGAGCCGAATAAGATTGATCCACCCGCGTGGACGATGTCGGATCCCGTTCAAGACAAGCACAACCCGGTAGGTTGTCCTCTTCACTTGGAATTACTCTGCGAAAATCGAACGACAACGCGATAATATTGCCGCGATACAGGCATTTGTATGCAACGTTTCGACTTATTTTCACTTGCAGGCATGGAATAAATGGACTCACTAGAGCAAGAAATCCGAGTCTGACTCATCTGACGATGAAAACTCATTGAAGAAGAGATAAGATACAAATATGGCCATTTGTATTAGTGGTAGTCTGGACTGGATTAATTATTTGTAGGCACATATAAATTACATTACAATCTTATTATATTCATTCAAATCCGGATTCTTGATATTACTTGTCACGCTAGAAGATAAGGCGACAAATCCTTAATTATACGACTTATTGCTATTAATAGTATATTCCGAGTTAATTACAGAGTAAGGAATATGCGAGAACAGTAGAGATAAAAAAAGCATGACAAAAAAGCATCGGCGTCGGTTTAAAAAAAAAAGCAACAATTAACAATCCGGCGTTCGAGTTTTCTGCTGCTTTTTTCTTTGCCGTTATCAATTGTTAATCGGTATCGGTACACTGATCAACAATTCTTGCAATTAATAATGATTTTTTTTTTCTCTTATTGTTGAGAATGATCTGAACGATTCCGAATATTTCGAACGTGACATATTCGCGACCAACTGTTTCGCGATAAGATCCAGACGCACATGCATTTCACCTTCCGCTTCTGCAATAACGAGAAATATCACTTTAGAATCGTGCCGGATATCAACTCTCAAACTATCACCGAAACGAGGTCTTTCGATTCGAGTTACTTGTGGACAGAGCCGTGTGCTTATAGCATTCATGGAATTATAATAGTCGACGTGATTAATGTTCACTAAAAATGTTGAAAGGATGATCGCTATAACAGTACGATAAAAATTGTGTAAATAATTCGCTTCGCAAACGGGAACACCGATTACTACTTCCATATCGCAAAGTGAAACACGAAGGTGACACGAGATGTGAAAGAGAGAAGAGGGATAGAGAAGAAAAGGGATCTTGGAAATTGAACCTGGATAGATATAAATCTTCCACTTTTGCACCTGTGCTTGAAACCGTCACTGTCACTCCGCCGAGCCTGGCTATTTCCTTCTAAAGCTACGTCCCAGAATAAATATCCGATAACTAGAACAAGAAAGAATCGTTCCTTCGCTCAGACCGCGCAGACCGCGCGGTTGGCGCGCACGCTGTTTTGTCGCGCGAACGAACGAATTGTATAGATCCTCCTTCCGTCACAGCGGCTGCACGTTCGTTCTGCGTCAGTGAACAATCGAAGATAACGAACGAAACGAAAGACGACGAATAACGTTATTTCCACCGATTACGAGATTTCCGTTGTCCAGCCGTCTCGGTACGTTTGCATCTTCCTTCTCTTTTGTTATTAGGCACAATTGTTAATCACGCCCCAGTTACGAGCAGATCAACCGGACACAGATTATCGTATGATACTCGTAGCGAGTTTTTATCGAGCACACATACACACAAGGCATACATGCACACACGTTAAAAAAAAAATGAAAAAAAAAAAAGAACACAAACACCACGCATAAATGACCAGGTTCTCGAAATCGAATTTATGTAAGCGTTACGAGAAATGTCGTCACGAGTCGCGAACACACTGTGTACTAATGATATATTATAATTATGTATACCGAATCCTATTCAGATCAATGAATACTGTTCATTGTTAAAGTGGTAGTGGGCCGCCGACACGCATAAAGAATATAGCTGTGCGTCCCTAGTACGACAGTGCTATTATAATACTATTATTGCTGTGGTGGTAATAATGTTTATTATTATATTATGGTTATTATTACACACAAGACATAAAACTATAGGAAAGAAAGAAAAAAAAATTACAGGTACATAGAGAGAGAAAAACGTCACCCGCTAATCTCGGCTGGACTTAGTAATGATATAATACTATATAGATATACACAAACACATACACACACACTCTCGATATATGAAATGTTCATTTCGATTGAACATTTGAGAATCTTTCTTGGTGGGGATTTCGGTAAGTGTTCAATACATAGCGACGATATACTGTAATTGAAACGGTCCCCACGCGCGCGTCAGTTTCAATGAGAATGATAATTCTGATGATAATGATGAGACGAAGATATGAAGCTCATGGAAATCGTACGAGGGCTTTTTGACCTATATTCCAGGGAGCGCTTCAATTATTCTCTAAGAGTACATTGTTATAATTTAAAGCCTATTTTCAAATTTGATTTATGATAACTGCGATATATGATATAAAACTATTATATGACATATAACAATAAAGCAAATAAATAAATATAACGACGTCGAATTGATTAGGATTTCTTTATTACATTCACCGTTCCCGATACGCACCGAACTTTTACTTTTATGGATATCAAAATCGCATGGTATTTAATTGCTTTAATTTCCTCGCCTCTATCCTTCTTTAGTCAATGCAATGTTTCAAACGTCTACACGCTTCTGACGTTTCAGGAAGTTTAATTAAATCGTAAGATTAATTGCAAAGGAGAGTAATCCATTAAGATTTTATTTTGAACACTCGTATTTCAAGAGTGACACGCGGCGTAGTAAATGCATTCATCATGAAATTAAAACTGTCATTATAAATCATATTATTCGATATTTCTCATTCGAATGAAACGCGATAATCAACGCTTGCCCTGCTAATCGCGCGATTAATCATCTTATTCAATCTTATGTGAGAGAACCGTGGATTATAAGGTAATAATATATCTAGTGTTGGTTTCAGATGGGAAAATAAATACGACAGTCTTATCATAGAAAAATGTTTAATTTAAGAGATAAGCTTATACGTTAGTAATACCAAAGAAACAGAAAACTTACAACGTCTGTAATAGAGAACATTTTTTCATAACAGTCATTACATTAAATAACAAATTATAAAAAATTCAGAACCTCGTGCCATTTTGTCGCACCAGTTGAAACATTTCATATTTTAATCGATGTGATATACATGTATATTCGCCGAAGAAGTTCTTTGATTTCACAAGTTGATTCAAAGCGGTGCGACAAAATATTCACGATTTTTATTATATAGTAAAAATAATAAATATTTACATGACAGCATTTATACAGAAATTCAGTACTGCGCAAGAAAGTTGATATTGATTGTCAAACTTTCGCGAGTTGACAGCTCTCTTTTTCTTTCTCACTAACTCTTCCTCTCTCTCTCTCTTTCTCTCTCTTTCTCTCCGAACCGACTACATATTGTGTTATATTCACTTTCATGTATTTTTGACACTAAAGCCTTCGAACGAAGCTTTTGTATTCTTTCTCTTTTGTATTTGGATATCTTCTACAATCATCTTGTTCACCTTTAG